ATAACCTCAATGCCTCAACTTTCTCTAATAAACGTTTATACTTTATTGTTATATATATTTATATGTTAAATTTTGTATTATCAAAATAATTGATCTCTCGCAATTTAATTGGTATAATCAATGATATTCATTCATTTATGTCCTGAGAATAATTAATTTATTTTCTCAAATGACAGTTTCTCTCTCTAAAGGGGAATTACGAATCACTAAAATAATTTATGAATTATTCATTTTTTCCGAATTTTGATTGATCTTTTTTATCTTTAACTTAGCATGTGCTTATTTGTATTATGACAATTAGAAAGAAGCATATGGATGTAACAATAATTTGGATAGATCTATTAAAGTACATGAAGCTTTGTGACAGTGACATTATAACTATTATTGAAAGAATTTGTAATCATATTGAAACAAGATAACTTTGGAAAATGGAACCATAAACTAATCGTTAAGGTAAATAAAACAGAGATAATATGATACACAAACAGGAATTATAATCATAAAATATTTTGACAAAATGTTATATGAGTTCCTAGTAAATAGTAATCAAATTTTAAAAAAGAACACTGTTAACATAACAAAATTATATGTAATAAAAAGGTTTTATTCCAAAATGTTATACAGAATGATAAAGTTCATTAGTGGGTCTTTCATTTTTCTCATGGTAATGCAAGAACATAACAAAAAACAACAATAATTGCAAAAGATTAATAGTATCAATAGAAATCAAACATTTGAAACGCAATATTACGCACATATATGCGTTATAACGCCTTTTGTTCTGCGTTTTAACGCCCGATACAAAAGCCATATAAATGCAAAACGAAAGGAATAGTAACGCTAATAAAGGCGTTATAACGCCAATAAAGGCGAAGTTACGCCGAACGAATGGAGTAATAACGTTAAACATTAGGCGTTATACAAAGTAACGTGAAACAAAAGGCGTAATAACACAAAATAAACATAATTACGCTGGCGTTAAAACGCGAACAAAATGCGTTTTATTACCCTTCCAGATTTTTTCCGCCTATTTGATTGGATATTGATCACCCGAAAGATATTGATATAACCGAGCCAGACGGGTAATATACACATTAAATATCCCCGTTGGGTACCCAACGTTGTAAACAACATGCGCTGAGGTGATGCGCGTACGGTTCGATTTTACGCGGTGTAAATTCCGATTTACAAGCACTTTTTAACTGTCAAATGATAAATATTAACCAAAGTAGAGTAATGATACAAATTCCCATCAGTATTGAAAACAAATATGACCTTGTGAAAGCTTGATATTAATTACAAAAAAGTGCTTTCCTTTTCTCTTGTTTACATTCGTTAGGTACGGGAAAAATACGTCATGTATTTATGGGACGTCATGTTGTGATGAAGAGGTACCCTAAAGGGAATCTTATTTCGACGTTTCATTTGAAACAGCAATGATTTTTTAAAAAATCGTCTAAACTCGGCAGGGGAAGGGTAATAAAATTATTATTTTGGTTTTGGAGTGATATATGTGGATATATAACCTGCCAAGATAAAATATCACCCTCGCCTAACGGCTCGAGTGATATAAAATCTTAGCAGGTAATATATCCACATATATCACTCCAAAACCAAAATAACATATAATATAGCGAATGAAGGGGCTATGACGCAAAACAAAAGGTGTATATACGCGTACAAATAGGTGTAATAACGCAAAACAAACGTTTTAACGCCAATTTATTAGCACGTTAATGCTAATCAAATAGCTTAGTAACGTGACTAAAGGAAAAACAATACTGAATTAAATGCTCGATACATATTATCAAAGAATTATTTTTATTCTCATAATTACGCATTTTGTTCTATGTAATTTGAAAGCCTTTTGTTTGTGTTAATTTAATCTATTTAATACTATTAGACTTTCTTGAATAATAGTAATGATTTTAGAAATAATATTGGTAAGATGTTGTTGATAATAACGATTATGATGGTGATGATGTTGATGATGATACTTTTGCTGTTGATGCTCACAATAAAAATGATGATGATGGTGACAATGATGCTGATTATGATATTAAAAGAATCTTTGAAATAATAAGTATGATAATAAAATGCTACTTTTGTTGCTGATAATAATCATACTGACGACGATGTTAATGACGACGCGATTGCGATAATAGTGATGATGATGGTGTTGGTGGCAGTGGTGATGATGATGAACGTTGTGCCGATAATTTTAAAACATTATATGAATAGCAATATAATTTATAAGATTAGTCGTTAAACAAATAAAATAAAAAAATCACTTACCCGTTACATCTACTGTGCTAGATGTCTTTAGAATGTAAACGATGTTCAAACAAAGCATAGAACATGTGCGTAACGATGACATCTTTCCAATGATTAACAGAGTAGTATACTTCGTAGCGGGAATAGTTTGTAGGCGGGGTTTATTTAAAGGCGGGGTTATGATAAATACATAATGAATGTTACAGGTTTGTAGTGAAGTTCTTGACAACATACGTGCTTAAAACTACAAATCATTTTTCATATAAAACTGATTCTAACAAAGAAGTTTGATCATATCCATCTTCGGACATGGTCATGCAAAAAAAATCAAACTTCACTCTGTACTTGTTATGATCGCTGTCGTTCAAGACACTTTCAATAAGCCTATGCATACAATGCATTCTTAAATTGCTTTTGTTCGATGAGGGGGAAGGGAGCGGTGGTCCTGATGTGATTGAAATAATCGGATGGTATTTCTTCTTAACTCGAAATTATATCATATCTTATCGATCGGGTGGCGATTTTTGGAAGCATTCGCTTGTTTCCTCGATTTTCCCGGTCAGGGCAATATGGAAACGACAAAGGGTACTACTATCTTCCGAATTTTCGTACTTACACATGCAAAGCGACCAAATAATCGCATTATTTTTTAAGTTTCGGTTTCAATTCGGTTATAAAGATGATTCCGAGCGCTTGTTGATAGAAACTTAAATCAATTGTAACTAGTAATTTCTCAATACCACATGACGGCCTCATAAATGATCTCAAATTCTATCAGTTGTTGCTCAAATAATTTAGCAAATCAAAAAAGAAACGGTTAATCATCTGGGAAATTGAGTTGGGGATAAAAATATAGCGTCTGTTTACAATGATGAAAATGATTCAATAAAACTTGATTGCTTAGAAATTTAATTCTCTAACAAATCGATGAAAATTTAATTATTTGTTTCTTTTATGATAATAGTGATTTGTGTTCATTGTTTTTGTTATTATAGTGTTCTTTGTACATTTCGGATAGAAACTTATGTTCCTTTTTTCCGCGTTTCAATTTGTAAAGATATTTGTTTTTGTGATTCTATGAAAACCTTAGTTTAATGTATGTAACGTATTATGTAAGATACAATGTATATCAATTGTATCATAGTTTGGGGACCTTTCTGTTGAAAAAGTGTCAGAGTTAAATCGTATACATATACATGCACAGTGCGGTAACTAGAGTGCGGGTATTAGTTACCCGCACTCCAGAGCATGCCCATTGATTGGCTCATTTTTGATGGGGTTTACATATTGTGACGGCAGTGAAAGTGAAATCGACAGAAATGTCATATTTAGATGCTCGTTCATTGGTTCATTTTTGCCGGGGTTTCATATTGTAACAACAGGGAACGTGTTTTTATGTTTGACTATGATACAAAAGAGAAAGAACACAAAACACTCGGTAATCTGATTAATACTCGGGGGGCTACGCCCCCTCGTACAAATCAGATAACCTCGTGTTTCGGTGCTCTTTCTATTACATATTCACTTATGCAAAATTTTCGTTATACTGTCAATCATAAAGTTTACTTGATATATTTTAAATATATTTCCTGAACATGTTTATTCCGAACACGGTTTCTATTTTCTTATACAAGATCCTAAATTCTACATCAATATTTTTATCATCATTATTGCTGATGCTACATTTTCTTTCATGTTTGTCTTGTTATTGTCTTATAATGAAACGTGATATCAAAACGTTAGACGTAATAACGGAATAAGTGTAGGTGCGCAAAACGAATGGCGAAATAACGAGAAACATAAGGCGGTATATAATGAAACGTAAATCAAAAGACGTTATTACACAAAATATACGTAATAACGCGGATAAAGGTGACGCGAACAAAAGGCGTTATATAACGTATAAAGGCGTTATAATGCAAACCAAAAGGCGTAGATATGCGTAAAAATGGGCGTAATAAAGCCAAACAAATGCATTATAACGCCAATTTCATACCACAATAATGCTTATCAAATAGTCTAGTAACGTGAGAAAGAAAGATCAATATTGGTCTGATATAATTGCTCGAGACATATGAACTAAGAATTCTTTTGATTCGCGTAATTACGCATTTTGTTCTATGAAATTAAGCTTTGTTATTGTTTTGTGTTAGAATGCCTTTTGTTTCACGTTATAATGTCTCTTATGCGTTATTACACCATTCGTTTCTCGTTATTACTTACTTCGCGTAGTTATACTTTGATTTGCATAACGCCTGTACATTTTTTTCTTTATTTGATAATATTAGACTTTCTTAAATGATAGTAATGATTATAGAAATAATATTAATAAGATGTTAGTGATAATCACAATTATGATATTGTTGACGACGATACACAATTATTATACTGATGTTTCTGACGATGATCAATGATGGTGATGTTGATAATGATTTTGCTGCTGTTGATGCTAACAATAAAACATGATGATGATGGTGACAATGATGCTGATTATTATAAAAGATGTTTTGAAATAATAAGTATAATAATAAGCTGCTGCTTTTGTTGGAGGTGATAAAGATGATGATGACGATGATGATAATGATAATTGTTGTGATGATGATGCTAATGATGGTGGTCGTTGTGGGGTGAGTGTTTTAAATTAATATTAACAACAAAAGTATTTAAAACGACATTTATTAAACCAATAAATAACAAAATCAGTTAACCATTATATCTACTGCGTTAGAAATCTTTAAAATGAAAACGATGTTCAAAGCATAGAACATGTGTGTAACTATGACATCTTTCAAATGATTAACAGAGTAGTATACTCCTTAACGGGAATAGTTTGTAGGCGGGGTTAAATCAAGGGCGGTGTTATGTTAAATTGTTTCTAACAAGGAAGTGTGACCATAACCATCTCCGGAGATGGTCTTGCAAAAAATATTAAACTTCACTCTACTTACTATGATCGCTGTCGTTGCAAAGCGTATTTATAAGCCTATGCTTACAATGCATTATTAAATTGTTATTTTTTCGTTAAGGGGGTAGGGGGCTGTGGTCTTGTATATTGAAACATTTGGAAAGTATTTGATCTAATCTCGACAATATCGAGTTGCAATTTTGTATTGTGTTGCTTATTTTTATTTATTTTTTTTTTGAAAAGCGAAGATGAAAGCTCCAATGACTACTTTTTACATTACTTTGAAAGTTGAACATACATGTATATTCCTTAAAACTAATTATCGACTACTTCGAACAAAACAAGAGGTTTGAATTTTGTGCAGCATGTGATGTCTTATATGCTTTCAAAGTAGGTAAAATCCACAGAAAATAATTACATATAATAATTAACATAATAACTTTATTTCACTTTGGATAGTTTTAGCAATCAGTTCAGTTATAGTGAGTTAGTATTTGGTATGGAAGTCAAAATACTACTTTGTTTACATTTTCCTACTTAAATGACAAATTATTTCACATAAGTGCTACTTTATTCAGAGAACAAACATATTACATATTAAAACACTGTAATATCAATTTCATAAACTTTCTGTTGCCCTTTCATACAAGAAGATAAAATAAACAATTTATTTGTTTATGAGACATAATGTGCCTTAAAATCAAATATAAACTATTCGACAAAGCAAAAGTATCAAATCATTAATTGAATCATAAATATATTTGACAAACTATCACTTCCATAATCGACAGGAAAATAGTTTTTAACACAAAAGATCCTTTTTTATTACAAAAGTACATAAAGTACTAGAAATATAACGTTCCTAAAGGCCTTTTCACACTACTTTGTTTGTTCTACAGTCAGAGTAGTAAATTTCGCTGCAGGATTAAAGGCCAAGACATTCACCTTCGATCATTCTATTGTTTAATTATCTGTTGACCAGAACTGGTATCCATTAGGCCTTCTTTGAGGCCTTCGACTTTCTGAAATAATAAATAATCAATGTTACAAAAACTTTACAATACATAAACGTCAAAAAAAAAGAAAAAAAGAAAAGAACAATACGACAGAAATGTTGCGCTTTTTTAGAGCGCCGCTCGCTTATAATTAGATTTTCCGTCTTAAATGCCTTATTTTACCTTTTATTGCTTTAAGTTTTATGTCCAAAAAGCGTTTTAATTTTCGTGATCTTTTGTAGTATTCAAAAGGTTACTCATTGGCCAATTACTTGGCCCATCTTTATCCATACGTTGCTTTTTTGTGGCAATAAATACAGTTATCGAGAGAGAATTAATATTTTGTGCGGCAGTCAAAATACTACTTTCTTTACATTTTGCTTTTTTGCCACAAATTTTCACATTTGAGCCGTGTCAAGACAAAACCAACTTATTGGTTTGCGACTAGCATGGATCCAGACCAGTCTGAGCATCCGCACAGTCTGATCAGGATCCATGCTGTTCGCTATCAGTTTCTCTACTTGTTATAGGGTTAATAAGCGAGCAGCATGGATCCTGATCAGACTGTGCGGATGTGCAGGCTGGTCTGGATCCAAGCTGGTCGCAAATCCATAATGTTGGTTTTGTCATGACGCGGCTCATTTATCGCTACTTTGTTTAGGTAACAAGCATCTAACTTTACGAGTTGTTGTATTGGTAGTTTTTCATTCCGGATTACAACAGTAAGCCACGTTTAATTTACCAGAGTACAGTTCAGCCACCGCATTGTTCCTGCGCAAGCTGTCAAGCAGTTTACCAGTACTAGTTGCCTTCACTTTTGCAAGGAACTGTTTATTTGTTTACATACCAGAGCAGAGGTACGGTGCGATTGGCCGTAGAGAGTATTTCTAATCAATCACAACGAAAGTGACCTGCGCCGTCCGGAATCAAACCCGTGTTGCCCGATTCAAACGCTCTACCTATTGAGCTAACCGGACGGCTTTGCATCAAACTTAACGAAAATCTATCGAAGATATATTGAGTGCATTGAACGTATAATCAGTATGTAATTGACAGGTTAATAAAATCAGACAATACCTCTGATTGGTTCCATCTGCCTATAATAATTTTCACGTTGATACTCGCCCCAGTTCCGCCGTTTCCGAACAGGTTCGTCCCATATTCTGCAACTGTAATATTTCATAATAGGTTGATTACCACTAAATAATATAACTCATTCGAGGTTAAACGTATTTTATTCAATAACATTTCAAATTATATATAAAGCCCTTTTAATCTGTATGCCTTTAGTTAAAAAGATTTTTGACAGGTTATATGGCCCTATGTAAAAGGTTGTTTGAAAATATAACCCGAGTCGCTAGGCGAGGGTTATATTGCAAACAACCGTTTATAAACGGCCATATAACCTGTCTGAAATAGTTACAACGAGTTGAATGAATATACGGGATAATATAGCCTGAATGTGATAAATATAATATAACCCAAGGCGTAAGTAGAGGGTTTTATAAATGTCCACGAGGCTATATTCTCCGGTATATGCCGTTTAAATACACACGTTCTTATTGGTGACAAATTTATAAACAAGTTCACAGCTGCAACTTCAGAATCCGAGAAATGTGTACATTTATACAGAGTAGAAGGTGTTCAGATAGAAACTGGATGATATTTAATTGTTGAATGAACTGTATTACGAATAAGTCGAATATGCAAGTTTTTCTTTTTCCTGAGAAATCTCATTAATCTGTCAATCTAGAACTATTTATGATCTGTAAGGTATTCAAAACTGGTATATGTAGCTTCCTCGCCATTAGAAAAATATTCGTCGACGAGCTGCAAAACGATACTATATTTTGTTTCATTTTTTTATTTTATATATAATAAATGCTTGAGAACATTTTTAAAATGACATTATGCCCATTCAAGTTTAAAATTGTCAGTGATTAGGTAAATATAGAATGAACTTGACTTGTTCAATAATTGTGCTCAATTTAATAGTTTACTTAATATAATCTATGATAACTTGGCCAACGGAATTTCCTTTAAAAATCGTACAGAATGCATCGGTAAAGTTTAATTATTCAAACATTTTGGGCAGTATGTTTATTATTTAGGAACTTTAAAAATTTTAAATCATTTTGCATTATCATTTATTGGTCAATCACCATTATATCACAATCTTAAAATATATATCTATTATAACGGCGAAAAAAATGAGCATAATGTCACTTTAACAAAGTTTTGACATGCTTTCAGCGGCGTATTGATTTACCATTTGAATTTATAATATGGCGAATATGGCGAACTACTTCCACAGAATGAAAAGCACATCCAACAAATCAGAATCGTCGTTATTAACAGGATTACGACACATGCCGTAAACCAGGCGATATTACGACTATCGTCGAAAAACGTCTTGTACCTGAAGGGAAAATATAACAAACATAGTTTAAAAGCATTAAATGTTGATGTCGTTGTAAAATAATTCAACTGTGGTTCTGTTAAAACACTCATTGTAATATGCTCGATTGTACAGGAAGGTAATATTTCAATCACCTTTCATTCAGCGTTTTCAGCAAACCAGTGTTGTTTTTGTTTTTTTTTTTTTTTTTTTTTTTTTTTGGGGGGGGGGGGGTGGGGGTGGGGTTGGGTTTCACGTCGCACCAATATGTATAGACCATATCACGAGTTTCCTTCTTTGCTGGTAGAGGAAGACTCCATGTGTCCTTTTGTACATTACTTTTTCATGACATTTGACTAAATACGCGCTCAACGTCGGCTCAGCGTGGTTCAAACCCCATTTCCATTGGCTGTACTTATGACAGATAACATTTTCAAGACAAAGACCCTTGGTGTTCATTCAATTTTTTTTCATAAATAAGTAAAGTTATGGGATGCAACGACATAGTTGTTAAAGGGATCCCACTAAGGTTTGTAAAAAATTTCAAAATTTTTCTTTTGGGCCTTTGCCTTATGTATCCTTTATAGGGCCGTGCAAACGTCTATCGCTGTCAGTGGGAAAGGGGAAAAACCCCAAAAACTTAACAAAGAATAATTGTATAACGGGCTGTTGCCCGTGTAGTTGTTTTTGTAGTTTTGTTGTAAAAAAACCGGGAACCGTTTCTCGTTTTCATTTCCTCCGCCGTCCGAAACTACAATAAATTTTATGGTAGAACACCTCATGGTCCAGATACGGGTTTTTAAATTTCCACCTGAGCTGTCGATTTCGAAATTTTGCAGTTAATTGGACGGTCTAGGGTGAAATTTTTAAAGAAATATACTTAAAACTTTCACCCTTTTTACCCTAAACGTTTCGTCGTATCAAAAGTAGTCATGTCTGCGATTATCCATAACATAAAGTATCATGGCAGATTATTCTTATTTCTCATCTCAAAATCATCATCATCATTACCATTAGCATAGGCAGTATTATCATCATCACCACCATCATCACCATCATCACTATGACAACATCATCACCACCATCATCACCATCATCACCACCATCATCATCATCATCACTATGACAACATCATCACCACCATCATCACCATCATTACCACCATCATCATCATCATCACTATGACAACATCATCACCACCATCATCACCATCATCACCACAATCATCATCATCATCACTATGACAACATCATCACCACCATCATCACCATCATCACCACCATCATCATCACTATGACAACATCATCATAATAGTAATCATCACATCCATTGTTATAATTTATTATCATCATCATCATCAACAACAACATTATTCATAATTGTTACCATCATCGGCATAAACAAATCATCATCAGCATCATCATCATCAGCATCATCATCATTATCTACAATCTTTTTGTCACTACCATTACCTTCGTCACCGTCGTAATTATTATTATAAGCATTATGTTATAGGTACTGTTTCATTTTTATCATTAGAAACTTGACTTTTATACGACTTCTTAACCATAATAAACAAGCGGTTCGGTTGTGATCCCGTTTGCGATTTTTAAAACTTCAAAAAAAATTCGGACAGGAAGCCGGACAGGAACCGACCAAGAAAATCAGCCTGACTATTTCTGTCGTGTATGTCAGACCAGTTCTTGATAATCGTTACCGTATTGCTTTGATTGGGTTTGAAGTTATGGGATGTTATTATCATTTCTGTTCTTGACATTTCAACACTTTTCATATTATTAAAATAGTTATTTGTATTGTAGTAATTAATAAAGATTTTTGCCCTCTGTCTAGCAAAGTGAGTGCCAATACAAATTTAGAAGTAAAATAGTGGAATATATAGACTACTATAAAAATAATGTTGGCTTTATAAGTAGGTAAATGCCAGCAACCAAATTTGCTGGTACTTCGTTAAATATAGTGTAGAGTAGAGAGTGGGGGAAAATGCCCCTACAGTTCATAGTGTCGAGCTAAAGGGTGTACTTAAACGTACATGTATATATATAAGATATGTTATAAATGTTATGAATGACTAAATAGCGGACAGTTTGGGCCATGGTCTGATTACACGGGTGTGACGGCTGATCTTGGTCTGCTCTAGTCTCATTGGTATATTCAGTTACGGTAGATTCATGCCTCAATAATTAAGGTCTTACGTATATGATATATCTCCAAAAGTGCCGATATCAGCATCGGTAGCGGCAGCTGTTCCAACGACTGTACCTACTGCAGCGTCCAGGGAGACGAACCACACATGAGATGTGTATACAAACACCGGCGCATTGTCGTTTATATTATCTGAAATATTAAGAATTTAGTTATTATAAGTCTACAGAATACGACGGATATACAGCTTACGGGTGAGATGTATACATTGGATGAAAACATATACAGCTTTCGGTAAATTGTATAAGTAACTTGACGTTGTTAACAGTCTAGATAATGGACATTTACTGTAAAAAATGGGATGAATTGCCTTAATTTCCATATACTTTGTAGTATCCAGATTTGGAAGGTATATTAGTCATTATTTCCAGCTCAGTAGAACGAAGCTTAAGTGGACTTTTTTCTTTCTTTCTTTTCTTTTACTTTAAAGTTCTGAACACTAAGCCAACTTTTAGCAGTTAAAAACAATGTACGTAAATCTATATGATTATTATGATCATACTTATAATTATTGACAGAGGAGCTGTATCAGTTATCCCTCCACTATCAGTGACTGTCACGTTACAACTGATCGAAGATGGCCGGGTACCGTCATCCACGTCGTAATCCGTAGAGTAGCTCAGTACCCCGGTGCCCGTGACGATAGAAAAATATCCGGTCGAATCACCGCAGTCAACGCTAAACGAGTATGTGTCATCGGTATCTTCATCAGTGACGTTAAATCCGGCTGCAAGGATTACCGTTCCCGCCTAAATTGTCATAATTTTAGATTTGGCTTGATTATTCTTATAATGCATGTATTATATTACCATCCTTTTCACAAATCGTTGCTTTTATAGCAAACATTGAAATAACACTTTCCATGATCATATCAACACATGCTTGATTTTTTGGGATTTGAAAAGACAAAAAAAAGACGGAAAGTACCGAGTTTTGGCGGCCGGAAAACTTGTGTATTACGTCATTAGTGAAGCTCTCAATGCAAATAATAAATAAATATTATATAATAAGAAAGGACAAATATTTTTTAAATATTTTCAATGATACGAAATAAAGATCAAGGATATATGTATAGCACGCATCCCAGGTAGTATTTATAAATTAAATGTAAGCATGTTATTAACTTAATTAATAAGAATACAATAAAACCCCTTTTGTCGGTTTAAAAACAGGCAACAACAACAATACCATACCGGTCCTTCGTCTGCAGATATACTGTAAGCATTCTGGCTCAATGTCGGTGCTTCGTTTACATTGGTTACCGAAAGAGTAACTGTTTCCGTGTCGGAAGCTCTGCCGTCATTGCACGTGACTGGACACGCAAATGACGTAGTTCCGCCCAGAAATTCATAATTGATATTGGAAGTGGTTGAGGTGTAAATGACGCCAGCTGCAAAACAATCTTAAATGTAAGAAACAACAATTCTTAATTGTCTGATAAGATTTCACATTCTCAACTTAATTTAATTACATAGTTATATATTCATGATTAACTCTGCCTGTTTGAACTCGATATTTATTCAGAGCTGTCTTTTCAAAGAAGAGTTAGCATATAAATTGTCCGTATACATTAAAATCATATTGTCAAAAAAATCACTTGCATTATAATAATAATAATGATAATGATGATAATAATGATAATGATGATAATAATAATAATATTAATAATAATAACAATAATATTTTTATAATAATGATAATAATAACGTTGTTTTTACTGTAACGCCTCTTAAATTCAACCTGGTTTTTTTTATTTGTAAGATATAAATTAGAAAATACCTACATGACGAATTTATTAAAAAGTATGTCGAGCCGGAAGCGGGTGTACAGGACATTGTGTAGACAAGCGTGTCCGAAGCGTCACTGTCCGAACAGTCTGTAGTTACAACAGTTTCACCCAGCGCCGTGTTCTCTGGTACAGATATTGTTGAGCCCAGATTTTGTATCGCGGGTGGATTATTTATATCTAAATGAAATCATGACAATGTTTAAAAAATTAAATACAAAGAAATTTAAAGCTAGAAGATTAACTATCACAATAAATACATGTTTTTATTTGCATCATAATTATACCTGATTTCTGAATCTTTCAACGTAATAACGTCATAAATGACGTCATCATATGAACATAAATCTTACTTCATCACTTGTAGATTTTATATCGAACAGTTTAAAATGAAACGTTTTCATTTATTATCTTTCTCATTATCGCAATACGACCTTCCATTTTAGATACGACAGTAGTGTTGAAAGCCGATGTTATTTTTCCACTCTAATCACATATCTAATTCCGGACAATGTTATTAAAAGAAACTAAACCATTCAGTTTGTGTTACATCCACTCACCAGTATAAAGGACCGTGAGAATTTTGTCAACTCCACTTCCGGTATCATCCGAGATTGTAACCGTGACGTCATATCCGATATGTGTACTGGATGAGATATCAGCGTTCAGCTGTATTGCGCCAGCTATAAGAAAGAAAAACGTTGATGAAATCATTTTAGTGGCATAATAACAATAATAATCATCATTATCAGGATTGTTATTATCAAAAGATAAAGATAATGGCAGGTATGGTTAATATAATAATTGATAATACATCATTATAATTACAGAGAAACTAGAGAAAGGCAAAAAAAAAGGAAATTTACAATCCATATTTTGTATTACACTCGTGTTTAAAAGATAACTTTTAATTATCTTTTGATTAATTGATTAACACAAACAGTCTGTAAAAAGAAATATATTTTCTGTGGTAGGAAATGTGTGCCAACAAATAAGGCCTGATTTTTTTCAGCAATAAAAAGAAATAAAATAAAATAATTCATGTATTTTATTTCATAATAAAAACTGAAGAAATGCTTTGATACAGATTTGATTTCACATTAAAATAAACTCATATTTACAAGCTAGTATTGTGAATGGACAGGCGGGCGCGACGGGGCTACACGATCTAGAATACGATATCTGGTCATTTTCTGTGTCCGTCCCAGTAACCGTAAAAACGTTATCCCCTATCGACGTTGTTAACGTTGATACGTTAACGCTATCTGAAAAGTGAAGTCGTGAAAAAGTCAGAAAAGTATACAATATAGAGGATTTTCAATAAGTGTAAGTTTAATTCTAAATTAATTGAACGAGTTGAATGAAATTATAATATGCGAGCCTGTGGCGAGCATGATATTATTTTATTCAACGAGTAAAAAACGGCACTGGTATGTGATAAATATGTAAAATGTTAGAACAGGGTCGAATAGTTTGTAAAAAATAAAAAATAAAGAGGCTTCTTTGTGATGCACGATATATAGCTGCCTACATTCAAACACAAACCGAACCCCACCCCACCACCATATGACAGATTGAAATATAAATCAGGTGACAGTTTTTTATTATGCTCTTAGACGAAAATATATATTACATTTGCGGTCTAATAAACAAAAAAGATACATTGTATCGATGAAAAAATAAATGATTATAAAAATTTATATACAGAACGTTAAAGGCGTTCGTCACGCTATATTTTTCATTGTTATTTAATGCCAATTTACTTTGAGTGGATTAGTCTACAATGGGCACATTTTCCATAAGCATGTAAATAATGATAAAAAAGCAACAGAAATATATCTCGTTTTCTAAAGAAATATATTTTTTAAACAAAAAAACAATATTAACAGAAATTAGAGTGATCGAGTATGAACATTTATATGATTGTTGACAACATTTTGTTCTAGAAAAAAAAATTAATCTGCTCTGCAAAGATATGTAATATTAAAATACCAGTTATGGTTGTATCTCGCATATTATAATTATAATTAAAATTATTATCATTTCTTCGTGTATTGTATGTAAAACATGCAGAAATGGCCATTTGGGCCGACTCACTTCAATTTTGTACGACTATTTTATGCATGTTCTTAGATATTTTTTTATAAACCATACCCAACTGCTCGCAAGAGAATATCGTTATTTATGTAACTGAAACAAAGTTTTTTTCAACAAAGTTTTTGAATAATTAAAAATGGATAAAACAAATTGAAAATAAAAAAAGAAAAGAAAAAAGAAAAGAAAAGTTACCCGGTAGATTTGTTATAACAGGGGGCAGATTTGCGACAATGTTTACTGTATACGTAGATGATACCGTGTCACCATTGGCTGTACAGTCTATTCCCAGCGTGTACACTGCCTGGCTTCCAGGATCATACGTTTCGTCATGGACTGTGTAGAGCGACCAACTTGCTATTTTTAGAAAACAAAAAATAATTGAATTTTTATGCGTATTGCGTATGATATTTTTATGTATTAACTTTTAAGATGAACATCCGATGTCAAGTGGTTCAGGTCGTTGACCTCAAACCACTTGCCCTTCACCATTGTGGGTTTGAATCCCACCAGTGACTTTGGATTATTTTATGTATGGAAGTTATCCAGTCAGATTACGGAACGTTGGTTAATCTACTCAAGTAGCTCGTTCGTACACACAGGGGCACCTGAGGTATTGCTCTATGCCCACCAGTAAGGCTTGAAATTCGTCATATGACTCTACTGTGTTGGTGTGACGTAAACCCAACCACGAAAAAGCTGTTCAGGCGTAGTTAAAGTTTTTGAGGTTCTTTACGGATCTCCCACTTCGCTAGTGCAATCGCCTTTTCGAATATATACCCTCTTAACACAAAGTAAGGTAGTTAGGCACATTTGCATCGTTGAGTGTGATTGGATGCAAGTTTATTTATTGAAAACAATATTAATCAAGAACGTATTTTTGCTAAAAATTTCAAAACGGAAACGTAGGACATGGGTCTAGGCTTTCTTGTTGTTTGACACATGATTTTCATATCGTCTAAATAATGGGTTTAGAGCTTGCTAGATGTTTGCTACCTGAGTAAAACAGAGAAAATAAACACACAAAAACTCACGGTTGGCATCAGTAGATAATCTCAAATTAAATTTATTACTTCCACCCCCCGCTTGAAGTGAACATGTAATGCTGTCGCCGTCAGCGTCTGTGACGTCAATCACGTACAGTAATTCTTCCGTCCCGGTTCCCTCGCTTACGCTGGTGGAATTTGGTAAATTACCTATCACAGGGACCTAATATATTATAAGTTTAAGAACGGATTACACGCATAGTCACGAAAAGAAATATATTTTCATTTTCATTTTAACACGTTTGAATATGATGCGAAACACAAAATAAATTAAACGGTCCATCTTTCCTTTACAACACTATATTGATCTTATACGTTCTTAGTTATATCATAAACTTATTTCATTACACAGAATATATCTTTTTAAAAAGTTCATTGAACACGTGTCAGCGCAAACTCATTCAAATAAACCATTAAAATGACACGCACGGGCAGCACGAGCAAATCGTGAGCAGATGCGGGAACTTTGCAAAGTATCAAATTTAAGCGCTGGATTTTATAATTATAATAGCCATGGCGCTTGGTTCTATCTGGATATTACCCAGTATATCTCTAAAACAAATATATATCATTGAGAAAAAATCGTTGACAAATCCAAGTGGAGATAATTCAGTATATATCAAAGGTCACGCATGTGCTTACGATTTGAACTTACTCCCTGTAAGTGATAATTATGATACAGGTACATATCACACGTGGAAAATGTGAACCAAGTACATTTGCGGGCACATGATTTTTTTTTATCACAAATTTTGCCAGCAAAAATATAAGTATTTTAGCATATGGATTCTTTAGCTGTTGTTTCAAGTTATCTGTTTTGAAAAGACAAGGGTCCGAACTTTTGTTGTTACTGTTTTTGGTCATTCAGATATTGTATAGACAGGACATACTTGTGTTTAGAAGCCTCTTAGATTGTTCCATTAAGTATTTAACTAAAGACGAATAATCCAAACTAAACTAGTATATCAATATCATTATCATTACTCTTTACGCAACAAAAGATACAAGATAATTCATATGTAATGATTATTAAAATAAAACAAAAATCAACATACCGCTGCGTAAATTGTGGCGTATTTCCAATAGGAATGTAAAACGATGCTAAGTGCTAATAACAGAATTCCCATTTTTAGTTCTTATATATAAAAATATCACATTTTCAATCAAATTCACTTTTTCAGACTCTTTATTTTTGTTATTTCAGATATTTATCAAACGGTTCGATTCATTTGCCTTCATCATATTTATTAATACACATGTTTAACAGCCAAAGTTTGCGCATTGACAAAATGATATTAACTTAAACCACCAAGTGTAAATAATATTTTTATTCATTCCAGTTCAAAGGCGCTCTTTTCCTTTACTTTGTATTGTTGATTTTTTAAATGGATGGTTTTTAATTCGATGGTCTACATTTTATTTTATACACTAAACATGTAAACAAATCTGTACAACTGAAAAGCTATATAATTATTTCCATTTTTGAAGTGAACACAATGCAAATGTCTTTCTTCATTCAAATTGAGCTTGAATAGCTTGAAATAAGAAAATTTTCCGATCGATATACTTGATCATTCTATTTCATAATATTTCGTTTTTGATATCTTGCTTATAAAGGCTGCATTATAAGCATTTAATACCATCGTCTTTTTCATTTTGAATTTCGTTTATTTCATGCATCGACTCCGGTCAAATTTCATTTTTGTTGTTGTTGTTTTGATATATCACGTGCTTTCGCAGCGAAAATAATAAAAAGAAATTTGTAAACAAAAGATAAGACTAACCTAATACTGAATTAATTGAACGAGTTGAATAAAATTCTATTTTCGAGCGTCTGGCAAGCATTATATTATTTTGTTCAACGAGTACGTATGCAGTAGATTTAGTAATGAACTTACACGAACTTGATATTCTATTTATCATATACCAAAATAACGATCGTTTGAAGTGAAAGACAACCATTTTTCATTGATGCGCTTATAGTATAATGACTTATCTAATGTTTTATGTACGATGCAGACAGAGCATTTTGGTACACACTTGTCATGCTATCAACTCTGATTTGTAATATGAGCCGCGTCACGACAAAACCAACATAGTGCGTTTGCGACCAGCATGGATCCAGACCAGCCTGCGCATCCGCGCAGTCTGATCAGGATCCATGCTGTTCGCTTACCCACTCTACTACAAGTAGAGAAACTGATAGCGAACAGCATGGATCCTGATCAGACTGCGCGGATGCGCAGGCTGGTCTGGATCCATGCTGGTCGCAAACCCATTATGTTGGTTTTGTCATGACACAGCTCATTTGTTTTATTCTTTTTCCGGACAGAGGCCTCTAACATCAGTTTTACAAATTTATAGGGAAAAATTGAATATAAGAAGAACTTTCATGGTTATTCTAAAATTACAAACTGAAATCTGGGAATATCATTGGCTGTTCTAAAATAAAATGTAAAGTATAGTTCTTGTCTTTCTAAATTAAAATTCTAGGATAATTCTAAAAAATGTAAAGGATAGTTCTTCCCATTATGAAAAAAAATGTGAAGAATAGTTCTAAAATAAACTTTCGCACAATTAATGTGGTGGGTGGGTTATGACATATGCAAGTTAACCAGTTTTACTTTACTTCGAGCGAGTAAAAGTATTTGATTAATGTCCTCGCGAAAATGGTGCTTTTATTTGGCCTATGTTATGATAAATCGCATGATGTAAGAGGCCTCTATTCAGAAAAAAAATGTATAGCATTTAAACCAAACACAGTATTTGAATTTTAAACAACTTTATTGATGATAATATTTTACGAAAGTTTATCACAGAACTGCATTCTTTATTTTGAAGCCTCCTGAAAAACAAAAATGGAAACTTATTTTATTTTCGACCAGAGAATACTTCTATTTAAACATGAAATGGAAAGTAAAAATATGATGGCAAAAAAATAAACAAAAAAATATTTAAAAATCAACAACAATATAGTGTCTATATAGTATATTCAATTTAAAAATTAGTATACTCAATTAAGAAATCAGTTGTGCAATAGAAGTCTATGCATTTCGTTTTGAAACAGACCCCCGTTCATCCTACGTTTCAATAGATGTCCTCAAAGAACTAAATTCACTAAAATGATTGCCAACTACTACTACTACAACTAATACATACACGCGAAAACTTACTCGAATGTTGACAACAGACTATGTTAAATGTACAATATGCTTTTTTGAAAGATAGAAACACTGACATCATTTGAAGTTGTCAGCAAGGTAAAGGTCGACTAGGTATATAGCATTTGTTATCGCCAAAAAGTTGTTTGAAACGCAACAATTTTTTTATCGAAAATTATTTTTAAAAAAACTGAATTTACTTAAATTTGTAACATGTGGAGATTTTTTTTTAAAATACGAATTTTGTCTTGTGTGACTACAATGTGTAATGATTAAGAAGGATGCTCCTTCGGAAACATTAATCACAACAGAGTTACATAAAAATTGCAGACTTGGTTTGATTGAGTCTATACATGAGGAATTACGGAATAAATGTAACACCCCTCAGGTACCCTAGCACCAGCTGGAGTGGTACTTAATTTTTCAACACTTAAAAGTGTTGTAGTCAATGATCGCGAAGGACCAAAAAAAAACACTGAAGTGAACCTGGGTTTCCACGTGACTGTGACTTATCTTAGTAAAACCAAGAAACTATAGTGAAAGGTGACAAAAAAAAATAATTGGATGCCGACCACACCTTGAATGCATATTTAACGGATGCCGACCACTGACTAAGTTTCCAACGACGAACTAAATACATGTATACGAAAACGGATGCAGAACACAGATTAAAACGACGAACTAAATACACGAAAACGGATGCAGAACACAGTTCAAATACATGACAATGGATGCCGCCGAGTACAAACCAGATAAAGATACAAAAATAGATAAGTATTAACCCTTGAACCAACGTTACTTTCCTGGCTAGTATTAGCTTCCTGAAAAATATTCGTGACTAGAGATCCATCCGCTTCCCGGACAACATTTCTTATCCACTTTGCGGACCATGAGGTTGGCTTCTTCTGTTTACACGGTCCCAGTGTACCGTCGGGGAGTACATGGTAGCGGACCAAGGTAAATCCAATAGGAATCTGACCTAGAAATGAAGTATATAAATATAATTTACTTTGATGCATTGTATAATGTTTGATTACACGATTCGTCTGGCTATAATATATAATTAGATAAAAATATTGAAACAAATGTAGAGGGAAATAACACCGTCTCTATTTTGATGTCCAGTTAATTGTGTAGTTATCTCCCCGAATTACAATTACATCGGTATGTGATTCAATAATATTACATTATTCATCTCTTCATCTCTTCTTCTTCTTCTTCTCCTTCTTCTTCTTCTTCTTCTTCTTCTTCTTCTTCTTATTATTATTATTATTATTATCATCATCATTATTATTATTGTTACTGTTATTCATTGCTATATTTTTTTCAACAAAACATTAAATATATGGCCTAGTGGACGACTAGTGTCATGGCCATGATTTTTCACCTAACATCAGTACTATAGAGTTCCATTGAGCGTATACGACAGTGGCCCAAAAAAGCGTCAAGCTTTTATAAAAAAAATATCTACAATAATTATTTATGATTAAGTTCATCCTCCGTAACCCAGGCTATTTACCGTATACCAGTATCAGTAAATTTTACATGAAGAGTAATCATATTCGGAATGTGTACCGTGGGTTCCTATGATGGATTATAGCTAATCCAACACAGTTCCGATTCCAGTCGCTGAAGTCAACATAAGATGGCAACACGGAGAAAGAGGTATCTCGTTTGTCTCAGAAACGTTTCCTTTGTTCGTTTATTTAAATATTTCCTCTATATTTTTTCTTTTAACAGGTTCAAATACACGTTTACAACTTCAATAACTCTGTAGTGAAGGGTAATACTTGAAAAATGCGAATCTATCTAATTTATTATTCATATACGTTTCAGATATCATGTACATGTAATTTATTTACCTTTTATTATATACTCATCGTCTTCGTTTCCTATGGTCAAATTGATTTTGACGTCACTGACGTAATACACTTCCGTAATAAGGTATATCCGGTCAATGTTCTTATACCCTAAAAAAAGATTGCAAGTTCTCTATAAAAATACAAATTTTATCAACAAAATTGTTTGATGCATGTAAATATAGAAAATGACATCAATGAAGAAACATGGACGTTGAAAAAAATCGAGAAATCATTTTTTTTTATTTTCACATATTAACTAAAACAATGGCAAAAAGTGTTAAATGTCACAAGAAACAAAATCAGGGTACTACAAAATGTAGTTAGATATAATATACGGACAATATTACTTGACAGAATAAAAAAAAGATATTTTTAAATAGTTAACTTATATGGTATTGAAAAATTGAATAAGTTTCAAACTTTAAACCTTTTCTTTGGAGATCTATTAACAGTTCTCCGGGTTTTGGCGCAAACTCCAGCGACCATTTTTCGCAGCCCCAGAGTTGAACTGTGAGCGTCTTCTTCACGCCATGCTTCATGTCGGATTCGTGAAACTCGTACGCCTGGTTTAGTCGAAGATCGGTGTCTTTCCTGATATTTCCCAACCTGTCAAAACAGCGGATTGTATAATAAAACGCAGGTTTATTGTATGATCTGTAATGATTATATTCCATAATTTGAAAATAGTAAAATAGTAGTTTTTATGTTAGTCACACTGATGCTATAACAGTTATATATGGAAAGACTTAAATATTACTGGTAATGGACTCATACGGGTATTATATTACTCATAAGGCACAGAGGAAGAACCGGCCCCTTACGTTATTTGGATTACTCTTATTTCGCATGAAAGAGAGCGTTAAAGTATGCTTGTTTTGGATTTTATGGAAAACGGGCGAGGGTTTTAATCTTATTAAAAAGATTTCTGATTAAAATCAGAAAGAGTAGATTGTGTTGTCTTGATTTTTTTTGCATTATTAACATTCTGTTTATAAACTTCTATCAAAATCTCATAGATAATTATGTTCGTTCCTGAAAATATGTCAACAACGCATTTGTAAACATTTCTTAAAAACAAACTTCAATAGGCTTAAGTTTCGTATTGTAGCGAATCAAAAATATATCTAAGTCAGTGTTTTTATACCTTTTTGAAATAACCTAGAAATAATTTTAAAAAATGCTTTGAACTTTGTTGATAAAAAAGAGAAAAAATAAATGATAACAAACTTTTGCATAAATTCTCGATCTCTGTCGACAGAAACAAAATCTGACAGCTGTCCGACCGGAAGTGATGACGTCATTACACCAGTAAGTTTCTCGAGCTTTGAACGCTTGCCCTTCAGAATCACATGTCCTATATCAAAGCATGTCGCCTCTCTCAAATATGGAACCGGAAACACGTTGTCTCCTGGAATGAAAATGTGCCACGTCACGACAAAACCAACATAATGGGTTTGCGACCAGCATGGATCCAGACCAGCCTGCGCATCCACGCAGTCTGATCAGCATCCATGCTGTTCGCTATCAGTTTCTCTACTTGTAAAAGGGTTGGTAAGCGAACAGCATGGATCCTGATCAGACTGCGTGGTTTTGTCGTGACGCGGCTCAAATATTCTTGCAAACTAATGTGTAATCATTTTTAGATGAATAACTGTCAATGAATAAAGACATTGAACAGCCCTTAAATTGTCAATCAAATATGGTCAAAAATATAAATAAAGATTACAGTAGAAGATTTAATGTCGAAAGCTGAGAAAACCGCTTGTTTTTTATTGAACAGATTAATTATATGAATATGATAAAGTAGGCCTTTGCCTTTGAAACCAGAAAAAAATATCTGACCAAATAAAATGGCTTCACAAAAATAATCGCATGGGTTATATTTTAACCCCTTCAATTGTGTTTGGCGTAACAGGCATTCACCCGATGAGGAAAATAGGAACACGGCTGCTGAATTCGCACATCACTCCCCGTGCTCTCTTCCCGGTCTCTTCCCGCGGAATCGGAAATATTAAAGTAGAGGAGAAGCGGACCAAAAAGCGTTCTAAAATCTTATTTCCGTGTGAAAATATTACATTGTAAATGGTTTTGTCTAGACTGAATGATGGACAAGTCCATTCGAGAAAATTTAATGTGTAGGAATGTTATTGCACGTCGTATCTTGATTAGAGTAATATTTTTGTTTCTAATTTACATATTGCAGGGTATTCTTATACATGCACTGTATAATTGTTTAAATCTGTATTTGAATCTTCTAAGGCAATTTTCACATTGCTGTATAAATACATGTATACAGAAAATTTGCTTTAAAATTCGTTCTTCATTCCTTTTTGTTCATAATTTGAAATAGAAGCTAATTGTACATAGAATTCCATTACTTTTTATGATTTTATATACTTATGTCTTATTGCAAAAAATAAAAAGAAATAAAATATTCATATGTCATAAAATTTTAAAACGTGTGAAAATAATGTAATCTTATTTTAGTTTAGTTTCTTGCTCACAGAAACAACGGCTGGCCACTTACGGGGTTCGAACCCACGCGGTCAGCAATCTATTTTTTCATGTACAATAATAAACAAACAAACAAACAAATATTATATAAAAACAGGTAGAAACTAGAATGATAAGAAGAATTGTTTTAAATCAAATAGAGAAAATAAGAATCCCTAAAGAAAGTCCAACACAGCATAATTGAAAATGTCGCAGGCTCGGTTTGATTGAGCCTGTTCATGGACGGTACTGTAAAATGCAAACTACCGTCCACGCCCCCTAGCACCGGCTTAAGCAGAATTCAAAATTTAAAATGAATTGGTACAATTTTGAATTTTGAAACATCCGCAGATGTGTTTATATGGCGGTTATCATGGAACCTTCAATGTGACACTTAGTGCCATTCCATGAAAAGCGGCATATGGTCCCCAAGTAAAATAATGCGTGTGCCCTAAACGAGAAACTAAATAAAATGGAATTTTGAAAGAGGATCAAAGGATATGAAGCCTGCATATCACAGATAGTACGTCAAAAGACAAATTTAAAAAGCAGGCCACATATCCTAAGGGTGATTCAACAGTATTAAAGTGAGGAATACTGGAACCACAAAACAAGAAAAAAGCAACAATTATGTTGCGCTGAACGATCTTTAAGGATCGGAAATATAACATCTCTGATTCCTTTATGAATGATTTTTCGTGAATCCTGTATTCATTGAAAGTTAAAGTTAAATGAGCCGTGTCACGACAAAACCAACATAATGGCTTTGCGACCAGCATGGATCCAGACCAGCCTGCACATGGATCCGCGCAGTCTGATCAGGATCCATGCTGTTCGCTATCAGTTTCTCTACTTGTAATAGAGTTTGTAAGCGAACAGCATGGATCCTGATCAGACTGCGCGGATGCGCAGGCTGGTCTGGATCCATGCTGGTCGCAAAGCCATTATGTTGGATTTGTCGTGACACGGCTCAAATATTTCCTCACCCATTAGCTGAATTGTGACAATATCTCGCACATATTCCCAGTTCTGTTCCGCATTACACGTTTCAAGCTTTTTAAAAAGCTTTGCGTTCATTTTTGAAAGAAATTCAGCCTGTCATCATTGTTGGCGGGATAACTATTAAATGATGACGTCATAGATGTCTCTTAGCGACGTTATAATAAAGATCACGTCACAAAGCAGCGAGAATTGATAACAACTTCAAACATGTTGGTTTATTTGATGAAAATAGTTTTAAATAACTCTAGTTTATAATATTCTTAAATATATTGGGTATAAAAATATTAAATCATCGATATAGAAACAGGTCTATAAAAAAATGAAGGAAAAAATAACCGGAAGCGGAAACGAAAGTTGTATTGTCAATGACGTTGCTTGGAAACGTGGTGGCGCCATTTTATGTTTGAAACGTTCGTGATTAAGTTGCGGCATTTTATAAACGATCAGACTGTATATCTATTATTAGCAGTCATGAATGTTGATATTCAATGTCGTTAAAGGATAAAAAGTCACTGTTGGCGGTGTTTGACGGTTTCCGGTCACCTTTCGGCTGCGGCGGTCATAGATATTATGACAAACTTCTGAACAAATTGCATATTAACGAATTTCCCGACAAGCCGAGTACACCGGAAATTAATCTGATCAAGACATGGGATGTTTTCCGGCAAACGTTTATCGACGAATGTTTTAACAAGGGTAAGTTTTACACTCGAATAGTTTAGTTTATGTTGAATTTTATCTGTATAATTAGATTTAATTTTTATTTATATTTTCTTATTTGATGCAAAAGAGGTTCAGCATGCAATGAGGCAAATTATATCGACCAACCATTTATTTGCCTTTTAGCTACGTATATAAAAACTATTCTAAAAACTTTTCCAAAGTTTAGATAACATGGAAGTTTATAATTCTTACATGTCAACCTTGTTCTGTTTTATAACTTTATGCTTTTACAGCACTGTATACAGACATTTATCAAACAGCAATAGACCAATCAATCACACGATTGTTAAATCAATCAATCAATCAATCAATCAATCATTAATCATATACAGTACCTTTTCCAAATTAGTAGTAACCAATTTTTTGATTTTTATACAGTCGTTTCTTTTATTTCGATATAGTTTTGTTCGTGACAAATTGTTCGTGACAAATTTGCACACAAAAAAAACAATAAAACAATAAAATTAAAATGAAAAGAAAAATGGTTTGCGCCTCATCATATAGTCATAATTTACATTTATTTAGAAAAAAGACAAAATTTGATTTTTAAGAAAGAACAAAACGTGTATTCTTAAAAGTTTAAATAATAGGTTTAGAGAATATTAGATGTTTCTTTCTTGAAGAAAGTTGTGGAACCTGTGCAATCATTTGTCTTAAAAGTAGCATAAAGTAAATAAAGTATTGTATTTCGACTTCCATACAAAATACTTATTTACTATATCTATACTTATTATCAAAAAAGCGACTGATGAAATCGACGGTTCAGGTAATTAGCCAATGATTAATTTTGAATAATAAAAAGTACAGTTACTTTTTTTTAAATCTTATATGAAATAAAATTACAATCAATTAGAATTGAAGCATAATAGGCCTTTAAAGATACACTCTGTTCATCTTAAAGTGATTTTTCATTGCAGAAATGTATTTTCTCTAGGAAATTGGAATAGGATAATGCAGAACCCGTGTTTCGGGAAAAAAGCATTCCCTATAACTGGTCATTTTGAGGCGAAAAAGAAAATTAGCACTCGGACCTTCGTGCATGCAAACTCCAAAGCGGTGTTAAGTAGCCATTAAACACCCTCTTACCGATATAATTTCTTAATCATCGCTCAGAAAACAAAAACAAAACAAATAAGAAACCAAAATATATTGCAAATAAAATGAAAATAAAAACGATAAAAGTGACAATATTTAACATTACTCTGTCTCTATAAATATCTGAACGTCCATATGGAGGTTAAAACATAAAGAGCCCAACTGCCTGTTACATATATTTCAAATAACTAAAATCTTTAACTTCAGGTAGCAGTAAGAAATGGACGGCCGTACCGTTCCTGGACATAGTGGACAGTCCATGTGCCGCCGGCTCGGTGATCTTGTGCACAAACCGTGATTTTAAACAAAGAATACTCATGCAGCCCAAACCAGCTTTCTTTGCCGGAGTTGCCAGTGACTTCTATCCTGAAGGTAACTAAATAAAAATATTTTAAGAAACTTGGTGTTTATTCTCCATTTTTTGCGATTACAAAAGTCTCTTTAAACATAGAGAAGTAACTTTGCTCGCTAACAGATAAAATGATCGGTTTTAAAAGTTCTTACAATCTATATTGATCACCACCATGACCGCTTACTGGAACAAAATAACACATGGTTTAATGTGAAGCACGGTCGTTGGTCGAGTAGGGCTCGATTCTAAGTTTCTTACGTCTGTCAGGTTATTTTCCTAATTTATACTTATTTACACTTTCAATAGAAAAAAAGACACAAACGTTTTGACATTAAGTGATATGATTTAAAGAAAGAGGATTTCACGTTGTAAATTTAACAATTGTCATTTAAATGTCATTTATGCATGATAAGCACGCATACGTATGTGTTAAGCTGCTCTATGCTCGTAGTCACCAATCATTGTCACGGCGTTGAATATGTCATTCATAAAAGTACGTTTTGAAAACTTTAATTATGTTTTAAAATGTATGCTCTGCATTCACGTGATGTTGAAATTTCACCAAAATGTTATACGGACATTAATCATTGCAGGGAGGACATACATGATGATGCCAATGATACCGAAAACGAACACTCTACACTGGCGGAACTTCTTTCGAGTGTATCAGTCGAGGCACTCCGAGAAAGCGGTTATGATCTCACTGACAGTCGAGGACAAGCGTGAAATAAATGACCAGCTCAGGCCCACCAATGTGCTGTTAGACTTGGACAACTTCGGTGAGCAAAATTATTAAAATTTAATGATCTGACATGATAAGGGAGGCAACTAGGTTGCCCATTTTATGGTATTATGTTGCAGAGTTATCTCATTTGTATAATATTATAACTTTAATGTGATTCAATCAGACGCCATATCCCAGGTGTCTGACATTTTCAAATTTGAAAAATAAAGTATTTTTTATTCTCATACAACATAGAACTGATGAAAGATCTCGAATCGTCACAAAAATTATCACTAAGTTAGCTACTTCAGAGTAATTTACTTATTTTCTCGTTGTTGCGTAATATTAAAATGTCTTCAATAGGTCTCAAATATGTCTCAAATGTTTTCAAATCCTACTTTAAAAAAAAAATTACAACCACAACATGTTCAAATGAAACATGTATACAGACATTGAAGGCCCTTGCACGACAGCGATATCTTGGTCGCCATAAAAACGGACAATACAAGATGCTTAACTTTCGTCTTTTATATTATCTAACTTGTTTGTTACAGAGGATACCGGCTTTCAGCACAAGTACTGTTATGTCGTCACCAACGTTATTACGGCTAGAAGTCTAAAAATAGAAGTGACAGAAGATGGGGAGGTTTTCCACGAGGCGGAGTACACCGCCGCCGTGCCGATTTGCTTCCAGGCCGCAAAAGTGCAGCTGTACAAAGAATCATGCGGGCTTCTTAAGAAGATCGAACCAATCACCAAGGTCCTGGATTTAAACTACAGGCGACGTCGCAACTGGCAGAACTTCCTGAATGCTTTCATTCCAAACCAAAATAGATTAGGTAAGTTGTAAAGAATTACCGCCCTTTTTTATCTTAATGTTGTAGTTAATGAGTCATTTATGTTACACTCCTGAAAACCTTTCTTTGCTTAAGGTATATCAAAAGACACAGCAAAAATCTTTGTTTTAAAGTTTTTCTTTAATTAAATAGTCACATTTCATGGTTTGCAATAGGCATTATGTAAATTATACATTGAAGATCTACCCCTTAAAGCATGTTTATTCCTTATTCAAATAAGAAAAAATCTTTACGTTTTTAATAGACGTCCATTTAACAAGAACATTCAAAACAACTTTTTACAAGCATTGTTTTTTTGTTTGTTTATTTGTTTTATGCCGATTCTAACACATATTCCGTTTTTAGATCCAGTCAACCGGCTTTTCTGGATAACTAACCAGTAATTGCCAGTTTTCCTGGATAACCGACTAATCTTATAAGATTTGTGAACCAGTGGTAAAGGTCAAATAACCCTTAGAATCAATGTTTCAGGGACATGTCATGTTGTATTGACACTTTCCAAAATATTTTCAATCTGCTATCAGTTTATTAACAATGTTAACCGTAAATGAATACAGAAAGAAATGTTTAGATCGAACCATTAAGTTGTCTAACCTGATCTGGTAAAATTGCAGGACATTCCTCAGGTGACTTCCCAAATTCGGTGCCTTCTCGAAGGTTTACGGTGTTAAAATCCTACCGTCCACAAATACTTCCGCGGAAAGATCGACGCAAAAACAACTGTGTGTGGTACTTTGACACTGAATGCGAACTAAATTCACTCCGATACAATTTCCGTCGGGACAGGCAATTGAATCGAAACTTGCTTTTAGCAAAATATTTCATTAAGCCGAATGAAGAAGAAAAAGACGGCGAGGATGGCACTGATGAAAAAAATGACACCAATGGTGAGGATGGCGTTGCTGACGACGACGACGACGACGAAGACGACGACGACGACGATGACGATGATGATGATGATGAGGAAGCGGAGGAGGAAGAAGAAGATGATGATGACGACGACGTTGTGATAAAAGATCCGTACGCATATTACCCGACACCTAACCGCAAGTCAGTAGAGTATGAAGATTTCGAATGGTAAAAGACTTCTTGCTTTTTTTTGAGTGTTTGTTTTCTTGAAAAATAAAGATAATCTAGAGAAAAACAATTCTTTGTTTTATATTCTGTTTTATTTAGTTCTCATTCATTAATGTCTTATAGAAATGTCTTTATGTGCGACATTGAGTCACTCTTCTCTGCACATGTGACCTTTGGCCTTTTTACTCTGCAAGCGATATTATAAGCACAAATTATTTTTATTTAGGCAAATTTTCATATTGTCATTCAATCAACACACAATTTTATAACTTTCATAGAACATTGTCAGTTCTGTTGTTAGGAAAATAAAAGGACCTCCTAATATCTAAATCTTAGCTTTGTGAATGTTAAGCAAGAACAATAATAAAAAAAACAATAACAATTCATCTTATTTTAAATATTTTATTTTGTTTCCAGATGGTGTTGTCACTGAATTCAACATTGTGTTTCGTACATTTTTTTTTTCAATTTCAAATAAAAGTTAAAACGAATAAGGAAATAAATAATTATACACAAACTGACCAATGAATGAACATGTATAGTTTTAAGTGCTAAAATAAACATCAAAACATGATAAAAAAGAGATTTTAAAGTTTAAAGTTCTTGCGTACATACAAATTTTAAAAAAAAATGGCCGCCCCTAACAAAAAATATTTCTTCTTACTTTAAAATTTAATGGGTTTTTTTAATGAATTTTTTTGATCCTTAATGGGGTTTCACCCTTTTGCCCCTTATGTTTTATTTTAAAAAATTTGGAAAAAAAAATTTGAAATTATTTCCCAAAATTTTCCGAAAATTCAGATTTTTGGTTTCAAAAATAAAATATTAAATTTAACCGGTTGAGGGACCACTAAAACCTTTGTCTTTGCTAAGACCCGGGTTTGAGTTTGCAACCCCTTAAATATTTTTTTTTATTTATTTTATTTATCTTTAAAAGAGTTTTTTAAAAAATGGGGTTTTTTTAGTCTAAAACTTTAATTTAATGTAAAAAATAATTTTTTCCTTTTTTTAAAATTTTAAACTATTTTAAAAACTATTAGAAGGACTTTACATTGACGTAAAACTACTTGGTAGCGTAAAACAATGAAACAAAAATGATCGCACGTACTGTTATATGTATCTTCAACAACAGAACAAAATAAATAAAAAATGATGAACAAAAACAATAGCTAGGAAAACACAAGGTAAGCATTATTTAGCATAAATTCTACAGCTTTGCAAATAAAATTACTTGAAGGAATATCCTGGATTCTAAGGATTGCTGGCCGCGTGGGGGTCAAACCCCGTTAGGGTAAATCCGTTATTTCCCAAGAGCAAGAAACTTAAGACTTAGTACTGGTTAGTTCCAGGAACAGATTTGAGAGTGTTTCAATAAGCTTATAGTTTCCAAACAATAGAACTTAAATAAATCCGTATGAACTAAACTAATATACTGCTCATTTTTTCATTACCAATAACGTTGTTATAACAGTTGATATTTGAAAGTGTATAGGATAAAATATAAATCTGCTTTAAATATAATAAGACCGCCCCACTCTTTTTTATAAATTGAACATTACAGATAAATTCCGAAGGATAATACAGAAATTCGCTTAGGCCATGTGAGTTACTTGTCGTTCATACGAAGACGTAAAATTGAAAGGAATTATGGCAAAATGTAAACTAAAATTGACTTTCAACGTTTACTCACTATATACCTTTAAACTTTATAAAATGAAACGAATAAACTTCGAGCGTTTGCACCGTGCGGCCTCCCAGTATCACTCATTATTGGACCAAATCCCATTCATTTAGCCTCGTTTTCATTTTGAGAGTCAAAAATAACCATATCAAATATATATCGTACCCCATACATTCTCGTTTTTTGGGGTTTTTTTTTATTTTTAGAGTCCAAAATACCTATATCAAATTAATATCGTACCCCATATAGTCTCCTTATCATTTTCAGGGTCCAAAAATTCATATCAATTCATCATTGTACTTAAGTAATAAAGTTTTGCCAAACTGTTCAAACAAGTGATGTGAAATAGAGACTGAGACACTGCTAGCGTCTCGTCCAATAAAGGTTTGACAGTCATCGTCCAATAGAATCAGTATAGTACTCAACAATGTATAAATAACATCATAATATATCTAAATAACACTAACTTAAGTTATGTTAATATGTTTATAGAATGCATTGCAACTTTCTATACGGATTAACAAGTTACCCGTCTCAATACATCTTTTTTAATTTTTAGTGCTATGAAACTATATTTAAAGGATGTAAAGTAATAAAATACAAAATATACTTTCAAATACTGTACTCGCATAATCATTCTGTTTCTATACACTTAGTGTTATATAATTATACATAAGATACAGTTAACTAATGAACACTTTGTCATTTAACGCACAACGTAAAACATACACTAAAACAGAATAAAGCGATCCATAAGAAACATTCAAAAGCTATGTTTGAAGATTCCATCCTTTTCAGATAATTTCTCTTTTTCTGAAACATTTTTAGTATATTTAAATAATACCTTCATTTGTCTCCAACTTTTAAGCTCAAGTATTAAAGTCAGTCTAACAGAAAGAAAAATGTGATTACTTAAAAAAGATCGTACACTAAGAAATCGTGTTTCCTTAAACATTCAACGTTCCTTTTAATATGATAAGCATGACTGTAACATGGTTGACATGTATAAATAAAACATAGCATCACATAACACAGGTTTGTCTTTTAGTCAGAGAAAAAAAATCATATTCGTTTCTATTACTTAATGTGCTTTTGATGAATCAATGAAGAATTTTCCCCCTGTGATATACTGAAAATAAAAGACTTGAAAAAAAAACGTTTTAAAATTCTATAAAACATACCATCTTAATACTTTTTGCACTGCACATTTTTAACAATCTATATTAATTTTTATGCTTTTATCTGCGACATTTTCGAGTTTTGCTTTAATAACTATGTGTAAAGAAATCTATCTCAAGAAGGTGTAAATCCTTATTATAGCCAGCATAAAATGTTTGCTGGAACGGGTATGTAATCAGTTAATTATTTCAAAACAAAACACAAATGAAACACTAAGCATTATGTACAAAACAGGGTAGCGCTAACAAAATAAAAAGAATATGGTTAAATGCAACACAATAAAATCTTTACATAATATGAAAAGATCTTACACGAGTTGTCCTTCCTAATAAAGTTACAAGAAAATTCTTTTCCGATTTTTTTTTATAATCAAAGTGCTGGAAGCACCGCTTTTCTAATATAAATTTGGTAGTGATTTAACAATGACAAACATATGTAGAGTTAATGACATGTCTCAGATAGTTGAACGTTTTGCTTACAGTCGGAAGGTTACAGATGTACGCAGCGGCTCTTCGGTTTTTTCCGAATGTAGCTTACGACCAATTGTTAAAAGCTGGTATCAGTGTTTTTTGTTAGTACGAACAATGAAAATTCTGGTAACGAGTTTTAATGTCGAATTTTAAGAAATGACAATACAGGTAAGGTTCTCACTCTCTCTTTGTATCACATATTATATTAAATAGCTAAGACACGCAAAAACAAAAACAAAACGGCACAATATCCGTTTGACGGCAAATTTTTCATTTAACATTTGTGTAAATATTTAGACATAATATAAAGGTAATGTAACACTAAAACAAGCACTACTATGATATAATAATAAATAAACAAAAACCTTCAAAACTCAACAGAACATCTACTATTAATTGCAATTGTAAACATATAAAAACAAATGAAATTCAATCTAAAATAGTTTGAAAGGCTGTAAAGCGATATCTAAAGAAACATAACATTTAAAAAGCATTTAAACATGTTGCTTCCATAATCTTTTTGTGGGTTATCGAGTCCAAGTTATAACATAAAATGTCTCTGTTATTTAACACAAATCAATAATGTACAAAGTGCACAGAATAAAATGTTCTGGTACAAAAATATTATGCACCTATTTTATGTAGGGTTTAAACCGTTTAAGCAATATTTTTTTCATAAGAAAATATACCAATTTTTCTTTTAAACACGTATTTTAGAATAAATCTGTGTAACAATTCAAACAAAAATTTGAAAATTGCAATTGGCGGAGACACAGTTTTATACACAAAGCAAAGTGAAAAATCATTTTGGAATCTGTTTAATCTGAAATAATAGTTTTCTATTTCTTTTGATTTTCTATTTGCCCTCGTTGAAAGAAATTTAGTTTCTGTCTGAGGCAATAATCGTATAATTATTATATATGCCATCCTAAGAATATGTTTATGTTTGTATGCTAACCCTACATTTTACAAAGTATACAAAAAGAATTACTAAGAAGTTAACACCCGATGTTATACCACTTAATATTTTCAAAACGTGTTACAACACCTGTAAGTAAGTACTGATTCTATAATACTATATGTATCAATGTCTTGCTTTAATTGGCACACAATCATCTTCATAATTATGTTTCATATTTTTAATATATATTTTTCCTTTCAATCACTAACACAGTTTATTTTCATTTTCACAATGAAACAAAATCAAAATATACAATTTGGGACAACCCTCGTATATATAAGTTCGCAGTATAACAGTTTAATATAAACTTGATGCAAACAAAATACCTGTAGCTTTTGCTATATTCTATGTTCATTAAGTTATATTTTTTCATACCACTTAGGAGATGCACAGTTTAATTGTAAACACGGCGCCCATCCTCTGTGTTGGGGATAGCGGGTGAAGTAAGACGAGTTTTATCGAACGTTTGACCCCGCTCAATGCGGGTTTTGACTTGTTGCAAAAATAGTGAAAACTATTCAAACAATTACTCCCATTGATGAGACTTTTATCACATTTGTTATCGCGGAATGTCCTTGCAGGAAATTAACCAGGTATTCAAAAGCCTAAAAGTCAAAGTATTTGCTATTCTTAACAGCGTAGGGTACTTAGGTAACAATTAATAACGTTCCTTTGATAATACACATTTATTAAAATCTTGTTACAATTGTGTATAAAGGTGTGTCTGATAGAGATCAGAGTAAAGGTCAGGGACAATGTTCGTTGCAGGGGAGGGACTTAATATCTCCTTAGCAACGTCACGCGCAGACTCGCGCAATTCTGATTTAAGACTTGTTAGAACTTCCAACTTGATTGACTCAATATCCTCATTAGACAATATTCTAGAACGCGACTGGTTAAAACTGGTCTCAGTATGGTTTTGCGCATGCTCAGTTGCATCAGAATGATATCTATGACCATAGTTAGTTGGTCTTGGTGCATAAACTTCTCCGGAATGTGATTTGAAGGGGTCAGAGGTCAAATTAGGAAGTGGGTAGGTATCTGTTGTTTGCGAAGAAGTACTATGCTCTAGATGTGAAAGGTAGCTTTCTACTTTTGCAGACGTGAAATTTTCGGGCGTATTACCATATGATATGTTTTCAAGATTACGAATCAAAGTGTCTTTGAATTTCCTCTGCGTGTTGCGGTGTTCGTCGACCTGTGATCGACTTGCGTGACCGATATGGTCGGTCGGGTTGTATCCAGCGTGAACTGGTTGACTATAGTCACCGCTAAAGTTCGTCTGGTGATTTTGATATGAATAGTTTTGACTTGGGTGATCAACAAAGCTACCCCTTATAGCATGGATTATGTCTTTCCGGAGCGTCTCTAGGTGGTTTTCCGCTCTGAGGATTTCTCGTCTGCGGTCCTCACGGATTTCATATCTGTAGGTAGAAAATACATGCATGTGTCATAAATACGGATGGCCACAGCATATATAAAAATTACAAAACATTTAAATTTGTTCTATTGTTCTATTGTTGATTGTTTTTCCTATTTACATATTCAATAATTCAAATAAAAGAAATATTGATTTTGTTATTAACATTTTTGTTAGTCTTTAGCGTGAATTTTTGTGTCATGTTGTTAGCAAGTTGCTGTGCAATGTCATAACAATCTAGATTCGATGTTACAGCTACAACGGTCAATATCTCATAATTTTGTCTTTAGTTTGTTTTCTGTCAATAATTACAAAATGTATATTGAATTTCATGTTTTCTATTGCCTTCATATAAAAAGTACACAGAAACATGTATATGTGATTTATTTACAAATTGACGATGATTCTATGTAGTTTCTAATAATACTTTAGGCCGAGTGGTTAATTCGTCAAACTAGAAATCCAAGGATGACTTGCCGCGTGGGTTCAATCCCGGTCACGGTTACTTGAGCAAGAAACTGCACCCTCTTTCCTTAGTACTAGTAATTGTTGGTTTCAGGAACGGAAAGCATGTCTTCAAGCTTAAAGTTCGTTACACACACGAAGTGAAGTAAATTTTGTATGAATTAAATATACTTTACCTTAAACTGGAAATATCTTGTTTGATCTCTAATAAATCATCTTCGTTGACACCATCTTGACGTCTTTGTTTCTTAGTTTGGTGAATGTACCGACTTACTAATCGTCGCATAATATCCTGAAATGTTATCAGAAAAGTTAGTCACATGGTGTTTATTTATCCTTTTATCTCTTTCTTTATTATAGAATCGTGAATATATAGAAATGATCTTTTTTCAAGGTTATGAATCATGATTATAAGCATCATTTCGAGGCGTCATATTGGTATGATCTCAAATAACGACGCCGAAGTAAAAGCTATTCTTTTACATGACGTAAATATATTAGAATACTAACATTACGAAAACTGTCGAATATGATGAGAATGCCTCGTGTTTTTACGACATTTCCCGAAATAAGAGCTATTAAATAAATGTAAAACAAGTCCATAATAATTAAAGACAGTAGTAAAGATCAATATGAAATACAGGTTTATATGAAATAAAATTCCTTAAATGAAATAATATCGATATGAAAACACAGTGAAATACAGGTCAATTTCGAATAAAGGTACATATGAAATGCAGTTAAATACAGGTTTATATGAAATACAGATCCATACATAATAAAATACAGGATAATGCCTTCACTTCACAGACGTACGGTATTTAATTTTTAGATCTGGTAATCACTTTTAATTTTCTGTTATTAGCATATTTTAAGACTGCACTAAATTAGTTTAACTTATTCGTGTGAGTTGTATGTAAACCAAAGAGTGTATTGTTTCAACGTTCTCAAAGTTCTGTGAAGAATCTTAAGCCTTATTGAAACAAATTATATTTTAATATATTTCATGTCAAATCGAGGCTTACTGGTGTATAATAATGAAATAATCTGTTGGCTTGGTTGGCAATGCATCTAAACCATGTCAATTTAAGTAGTGTAAGAATTTTGTTTCTAATACGAATTTAGGCTATATTTTTGAAGATACACCGTATATGTATATGAAAGCATGTATACACGTTGCGATGTTTCGTAGACTATATATGAATAAAAAATGACCACTTACTGCATATTTTACGTCAGGCATCACGTGTTTACTCATAAGCCGTCGGAGGCGACCTGCTTCACCATTATAGGCCGCTTTCTGAAAACATAATTTAAAAATATTATAAAAAGCGTTTTTTGTGTTACTTGATCGTTACTCTATGATGTTGTTGTTGTTGTTGTTGTTGTTTTGTGTATTTTTCTCTCTTTTTTACTTTTTCTTTTTTATTCAATTTTAAATAAAACAATATCAATAGTTGATGCAGACGACAGAAACGAAAAAAAAAATCTTTCTTATGTTCTAGTTGGTTTCTTCTGATATTGTCTATAGTTTTAGACCTCTTTAATCCGAAGTGTGACTGAAAGAGCCGATAATTGGCCACTGGTACATCCCTTTAAGAATGTAACTTTCAGTGAAAGAAAATAGGTTGTTTAATGAATGTATTATACATTAAATGCAACACATGTTGTTGGTTTCTCCCTTATTGGTAGGTTTTGTCTTTTGCTTGTTAAGGTAGTATGTAATTAACAAGAAATGACATTAAAACTAAAAATTCAAGTTTTCGCAAAATTACAATCGTTCATTCATCAAAGTAATTTTGCTTACTCGCACATGTTTTCTTATTCATTAATGTGAGTTTGTATTTCTTGCATCCGGTCTGTGATCTCCAAAATTTGATTTGTTATCAATTTCCAGTCATAATATTGTGGGGGCTGTTTGATAATTTTCTTTTTCGAGAGAAAGTCGGAACTCCTGATATTATTTTCTGTTTGAACAAGAAAGATGAATCCCCATCAAATTGTTAATACTTTGTCTAAGTGATTGACATTATGATGTAATTGTTTTAGTAACGATTTTTCTAAAAAATCTTTAGTTTCTTTAGATTGAGACTAAACCATGTTAAATTTCTTTTTTAACTTGTGAAACGCTCGGAAATATATCTTTAATACTACTAGCTTTTTATGTAAATTATTTCACTAACGCTATCGCCAATTTTTTTAAACAAATACTAAGATAAATAAGATAATGAATGATTTTGTGCCGACTTATGAAAAAAGACTTATGATCGAATTTAATGGTAGGATACTACGTCATCGCACACCTGCAAAATGCTCCAATTCGGCGACTCGAAAATAAGACTTTTTTATTCTTAGAAATCGTTAGAATGTAAAAAATTTATGTAGCCACCAAAGATTGTTTTTATTTTATTTTGTATTTGATATAATTTTAAAATACTGCCTGGTTTAAGTCTGAAAACCGGATAAATTTTGTTTTAGAGTCCGAGTGGAAGCATTTAGGGAAAGCACACACTTTATCCTACAATTGTTAAATTGTATTTCACTTAATGAACGGCATCATTTAATATGATACTAACATTCTATGTCTAGTGATATGCATGGCGTAGCCAAACTCAATAAACAATTAATTGATAAGATGTTGTTGTTGTTGCTGTTGTTGTTGATTTTTTTTATCCTCAACGAAATGCAACACTGTAGGCTTATCAATACTTTGCCATAGTTTTATAAAGCGTTTTTTATAAAACAGAAATTGTCTAGACTTTATTTTCTTTCTTATTATTAACTTTAAAGATATTAACGAGTTCAACGATCAAGGTAAAATATATTTTAGCATGTACAGAGTTCGTAAGCCAATCACGCAACGCCTTAATTAATTTTCTTTTGTCATGCAAAAAACCTGTCGTATTGTCGTCTCACATTTTGACCTGTATATGTCGCTATCATCCAGAATTGATTTACAATATTATTTATAATTCATGTGACTTAAAAATTTGCAGAATATCTCAAAGATAGTTTATTCTAAATATGGACAAGCACTGAATTTCTAAAAGTTTTTTTTAACAAACTTCTTGACGTTACGATGTCAAAAAACTCATGGTAGATATAATATATTAGGAAATGCACACTGAACGTCAGAAATGAATACTTTTTTTCTTCAAAACGGGCAAACGCGTATTCCATAATGTTTTTATTATAGAAGCTGAGCATATTAGGTGCTAATCACCTGGACCAAATTAATGCTGTGTGTAAAATGGTTTGCTATATGAGTAGCAAAATGTAAACTTGTATTTTGAATGCCATACAAAACAAATTGTTATTTTATCCCCTGGAAAAATATAACTTTCTTCCAAATAAGTGTATAACAAAAAAGAAAATTTCGTTCTTCAATAAAAGAAAATAACTAAAAACTTCATGAACCAAAGAAGCAAGAAAAGAAGCAAGTCAACTTGGCTCTGTATCTTTTACACATTTTCTTTTTGCTCATAAGTACATAATATAGGCCATAATGTAATTTGTTGTCATTATTTAATGTATATTGACATGGACGGTAAATTGTTGATTATTCTTTCAAGATGGAATTATTGTTATTTTGTCTGTGTTAACAAAAGATAAGAACATGTCAAAATGTTATTGGGGTCTATTAATAAATGACATAATGATGAAATTGTTGTTGTTTCTTTAGACATCTTTAAATTAATATTTCCTTGGGAAGGGAATCGATAATGCTGTCTTGAGATACTATTATTAGCATTTAATATCGCCGAATGACAAATAAAGCAATTGTACTGTATTTATTGTATATACATATAGTGTATATGACTGAACTGCATGATATCTTACAACAATAGTGTAATATTTATAATATTTTTGTATCATAGTTTGGAGGCTTTTCTACAGACTTTTTTAAAATACGATTTTTCTTTAGTAACGGATGTTGAATTTCGCGCATGCGTGTTTTGCGTAGGACAAAAAAGCGATATATATATATAACGATATACTACAATTTATCGTAATTAAAGGCTTTAAAGACGTGATTTCTAGTTATGTCACCAAGAAAACAGTAATGTTGAGATGATTTAAAGCGGTGAGTTCTTTAGCCGTGAATTAATATTTATAACAGAGATACTATAAAATATGCAGGTCTAATAATTCAATGACCAGAAAGCGCATACAAAAGTCATCTGTTTAATGTTTCATTTGACGACTTTTTCATATAAAAGAATATGTCAGAGTTAAAAGATGTAAGTCGTCAACGTGCATAAACTGGTGTTCAGGATAAATTGCCCGCACTCAAGTTAACGGACTAAAAAAAGAGTACGCTCCTTGATTGGCTCATTTTTTCTTGGGTTTACTTATTGTGACAACATGGAGGGGATATCGGTATGCTCGTATTTTGGTTACTTTTTTCTGGGGTTTCATAATGTGACAACAGGGAACATGTTTTTATTGTTACCTATGTTACAAAAGAGAAAGAGCATCAGAACACTCGTCAATCTGATTTATACTCGTTTTTCGATGCTTTTTCTATTACATAACAGTCTTGGCATAGGCAACATGTTTAGAATTAGTTTGATACAAGCATTAAACTAAATAAGAATATTAATGTATTTCGTAATATTTTGCAGTTTACGCCTTAAAACAGGATTTCTTACATATATGTGATTTAATGTTTGAGTGATACAGACTAAGAATGTTGTCAATTTATTGCAATATTCATTGACTTATTACTCAACCTGTCTTTTAAATCTCTTTTATCATGATATGGCAGAACGACTGTGATATTAAACATGTGTTGTCTATGTTTTATAATATGTAATAGACAACTCTCACACCAGAAAAAATAAATGTTGTTATAAATTTCTTTTAGAAAGCTTGTGCGATGGATAGAAAAATTACTACAGTTCAGATGTGACATGGGTCTATCTATAAATGTACTACATATTCCGCGGCATGGTCAAACATTTCAGCAAGACTAATCTATGCCAGATCAAATATATGAGATATAATTTGATAATACTTGCATGCATATTTTAGGAAGTAGAAAATCAGGTTTAATTTAGTTTCCACCTTAATTGTAAACTGTTATAAAGAAACAATCTAAAAGGGACGTTTAGATCTGACATTCCATACGCCTGACGGCAAACATACTTGATAATGATATATTAAATTTCAAAGATAAACTAATGCTGTTTGTGTGCCGTTGTAGCTTGTAAAGGTTGGGCTAACAACTGATATCAGAATCACATTAACTGAGTATTGAAAGAGCAAATTATCATTTTCATAAAATCACTTTAAACGTCCTTCAAATCAAAAGGGAAATTCAATCATGAAATTAATATTTTTGCCCCAAGATGATTTGAATTAAAATGTTTTTTTACGTCAATTTCATTAGGAAAGATTTTTCATTCTTTGACTATAATATATCGACTTCCTGTTTCCCAGCATGCATTTGTCTAAAGTATCAAAGTACATGAAATACTTTGAAATTTCAACACAGCAATTAAGTAGCAATGCATTAGTAATCACAATCAAATATCTGCAATAGGTATATACATGTAAATTAAACTTTTTTCGTTCATAATAGTTAAATCTCGTTAGTCGAATTTTAAATAAAGTCTGCACTCTTTGTTATTATGGCTGATTAATGGCATGCCGTGTTTTCGTTTCAAAAGGCGCCAGGTGGTTACTTTGTCGTATTTTCGCCTGGCGCCCTGCAGGACAGAAGTACGACAATGTGGTAATATTGTCGAAATTCCGCATCCCCCCCCCCGGAGCGAATCGACGACAAAGTCGTTATTTTGTCGTATTTTCGTGTTTTTGTCTGGCGCAAAGCGAAACAAAAAAACTCAACAAAACAACATGGCATATATCAGCAACCATACTTTATACTTTTTATTTAGCTTTTTGATCAAATCTTTAAACTGATTTTCAAGCAGCTGAACTGTTCTTTTGAAATATGTTTCATGACGTTTCGAGGGTAATGATCACTCTAGTTTGTTAACAGAGTTCTACTCAATGAATTATGCTCACTGAACTATGCTCCATTAGGACTACTGAGTCCATTGTGAAATCGCTTGTTCCCCACTTTGATTAAATTAGGCTGCCCTTACTATATAGTTTGTATATGTAAATTGCTTATGAACATTTCAGAGGTGAGAATGTTAAAGAATCGTTAAAGGCACATTATGCCTTAGAAACGATAACATATATATTTGTTCACTTCTTTAGAAAGGGCAAACATACATTAATTAATGTTTAAATAATGTTAGATGCTTGTTTCTTGAAGAAAGTAGCGATAAATGTGAAATAATTTGTCATAAAAGTAGCAAAATTTGAAATACAGCAATTGCTCTGATGGTGTCTTAATATTTTTTCTTGGCACGCATGACTGTAAAAATCACCTCTTACGAATCCTGATAAAGCACAGATTTAAACAGAACCTTACTTTTAAAAGGACTTCACTGAGATTTTGGTCATGGCGGGACTGGAAACATTCTTCCGAGATTTGTGTATCATTTGATGTATATAACAACTTGTGTGCAAATATTCAGCATAATTTTCTCCAGAATGATTATTTTCATTGTTCGAAAGACCCCAAAATGAAAAGCGTTTCAATGATTTTACAATCAGATTGGGCCATGAATCGAATTGCTTTTAAAATTCAATTTTCAATTTAATTCCGAGCATATTTTTATTAGATGTAATATATTGACACGCTATTGGTCAGCTAGTATTAGCCACTTGCTGATAAGCCACGCCTAAATTCACCTGGCATCACCGCTCTGGTGTGTATTCAATTACTAAATAGATTTAGAAACCAATATTACATTATTCTTCGCAGGTTTTCTTTCTTTCTTTATTTTTTCATTATTTATTTTATTTTTATTTTCATTTACATGTATTTATTTTTTTATTTTAAGTGCTTGATCTCTGTAAAAACTTAATCTCAATCGAGCTCCTTTAAAATAAATTCACCAATCATAATCTCTAACTGTCTTGAGCAAGAAGAAACACGTGCTTAATAGAAAATCTTTCACTTATATTGATTAACTCTTATATTGATGTGTTTTGTCTTCGGTTCAATTTTGAACATAAATTGAATTGGGATTGCTTTCACTGACAAGATGTGTGAATTGTTATTATATTTTCTGTTTAAATAAGAGAGAAAAACCAATCAAAGTGTTATTGTTTCTTTAAGATGATTGACGTAGCCAAACAATGGATTGTACAGAGTTTTGAGAACATTCTCTTCAAGGCAAATATATTTCAGCAAGAAATTTCTCGTTTATATTTCGTGTTCTATGTATCTAATGTAATTTGTTTCCTGAATAAATAGTCTTTAGTCTTCTGAAATAATCTAAGTCGGACATGGAAGAAACATATTCGATATTGGCCATTTTAAGTAACGTGTTACAGTAACGAAGACAGTTCTTTAATCAAATCTTAAAGGCCCATTATGCCCAAGAAATGACTTTATGTTTTTATATCTTAAAAACTTTTTATACACTTATTATGTAATTATATTTTACCAAATGTTACTCATTGGCAAATTGCAATTACCTGAACTATCTTTTTCTTCTGTTGCTTTTTGGCATTTAGTACAGTTATGGTGAATGGCAGTCAAAATACTACTTTTTACATCTCGCAAATGATGTCAAATTTACCTTACTTTCTTTAGGAAAAACGCATCGTACATGCACTAAACCATTATTTAAAAGCTATATAATACATGTGTGCCATTTCCAAAGAAGGAAAAAATTATTCGTTTCTGAGGCATAATGTGCCTTTAATGAGAAAATATCAAAATATAATAACTAATACGAGAGATATGAAATTATTGTTAAGGGAATGAGAACCTTATACAAATAGATATTGAATTGAATACACAATTAATGTAAATTAATATTTTATATACATTGAAAATACCTTTTACAGACCAATAAATTCGCAAACTACATTGAATTGTAGTATTTAATTAAAACCAATATGACTTTTCTTAGTAAGTTAATTGAAAACAGATTCCGTGCAAAGAAATATGAGCCGCGTCACGACAAAACCAACATATTGGGTTCGGATCAGCATGGATCCAGACCAGCCTGCGCATCCGCGCAGTCTGATCAGGATCCATGCTGTTCGCTTACCAACCCTATAACAAGTAGAGAGACTGATAGCGAACAGCATGGATCCTGATCAGACTGCGCGGATGCGCAGGCTGGTCTGGATCCATGCTGGTCGCAAACCCACTATGTTGGTTTTGTCGTGTCGCGGCTCAATTATTACGTATGGGTCAGGTTTCCATGGTAAAGGCACGTTGCTTTTAAGCAAGTTTCATATTATCAGAGAAAATTGTTTAAATTATTATCTATGGCATATTATTTTATTACGATATCTAACACTGAGACAAATATATAAAAAAAGAAACCCGGAAACCCGGCAGTTTATACTGTGTGTTTTTGTAACGTCGTTTTTCATTGGATAATCGTGACATTTATATATTCTATATACACGGCAAGAATTAATGTCATTGTTTTATCTAATAAAGAAAGATTGTTGACACATTATATGGTCGAATATAAATGGTTATTTGCAATATAACCAACCGTTTATATACGAGTTTTGCCATATTTGCATTTTTCAGAAATGTTAAATACATTTGTAATACACACTTGTTATTTTGATTATCCTTTTAAATGTCTTGCTGGTTTTTTTCCATCATAACCGCGTTACTATTACTGAGGAATTATTTTAAGGATAAATTTCAAGTACACGTCGCATGACTCTTAATTTCATAATTATATATTTGAAATAGCAATGGGGTTTCTGTTTGTTTGTTGTTGGGGTCTTTTGGGGGGGGGGGGAGTGTTGTTGTTTTTTGCTGTTTTTATTTCTTTAAATGTTATGCGTACTTAACTGTGCAGTATCGGATATACTGAAAACTACAGTGTCCTACACGTGCACGTTATATAAAAAATAATGAGTGTAGAATGATTAAGTTTTAACAAAAATGCTATACAATACTATCATAAAATAATACTTACAATTCCATCTGCATGCGAGTTATTCAGGTTCACAGATGAACTTTCTCTGGTCTGAAAAAAGAGGGGAAAAAACAATTATTATTGAAATAAATTGATTAAAAGTCATTTTTTAAAGAAATAATAACAGCATGAACAATAGGTATATCTTTGGTAAATTTTCAATAACAATGGAATGATTTTTCTGGAATGCATGGTAAAATTGAAGTGACATTTAAAAATAAATATCAGATCAGATGTCTTGACACATATTTAATACCAGACCAGAGAACTTTCAAATTGGTAAAATAAAACTGACAATAACATGTTAAATACGGGATCAGAGATGTTTGATAAAATTAAACTGACAATTACATATTTAATATCAGCCCAGGTTTTGCATTGGTAAAAAAGAATTGATTCCAAAACATTTTAAGAAACGCTGTTTAAAATTCGAACTGTAGTAAAATTAATATGATAAACAAGATCAACAAGGAAAGGCGGCGTTCAATGAACGCAACCCCCACATGGCCCAGCAACAAGAACCAGTGGCATGGAGCCCAGACGGACCCCAAACAAAAAACAGGACAGGGCACAAGGCAGAGCACGGACAGGTAAATGGTACTACAGTGCGTTCTTTCTGCATTTAAACACGAACATACGTTTTTATATAACAAATTTTCATAAATTGGTTTTTACAAAATTGGTTTCACAAAATGGCGTTTTGAAAACAGCCTCTTTGATACGAAAAAGTCTTTATAAAATCTTTGAAACTTTGACACCAATAGCATTATTAACATGATATAAACATTATATAAAAATGATGAAATTCTATAATTCTGTAACAATATATACTGATAATTTACTGATCATAATTATCTCTTTTGTTCCTGGAATTTTAATTGCTCATGTTTTGAATCGTCTATCAACGATTGTTTGATAAAAGTAAGTGTAGTAAAGGTCTAAACAATATATTATTATGGATTGAATTTATTTTTTATTTTAGTCCATCATCTAAATTTCATTCATTTACTAGTTTGAAGAAGATTTGCTGATAAAACGGTGTTATATTTAATATATCAAGCTATAAAGATATACATTAAGATAGGATTATATGGAAGTCATGAAAAATACAGACACCTGACTTAGATAAATATCAAATTCTTAGCCTGATTGTAGCAGTTATCACAAATATCCTATGAAGTGATCTCCCCTTATCAGAGATACAATCTGCAAAGGGAGGTAATCACTGAGATTGGAGTTTGCTTCGTCACTGCGATGAATGATTTTGTTCACTTTCTATTTTATAGAATGTAGTAAAATGTATCAAATTAGGTTTCATTTAGTTTAGCCATAATTTATAATTTCTTTTATTCACCTTCATATATCATCTGAATTGTGCAAAAATGAAAGAAATTGTAAAAATATTGAGAGTTATTTAAATGCTGCACCGGTAATTTTGCAACAAGGCTAGAAATAGACATTTGATTACAAAATAGGCTAAATAATTAGTTAGAAGGCAAACTGTTCTATGATTCCGGACATTGGAGTGTCTTTTTTCCTTACTTGCAGCAATATTTTTGTCCGTCATCAAACATCCGGTCGCCATGTTTTGGTCACATGGTTTGCCTATCGTCACGTGGTACTATCGGGTGTACGATATGATAGAACTTCTGTTATAATTCTAACACTTTCATTTAGCATGTTTAGAGGAAAAGCTAACTGCATTTCTAAAAAATTTGTTATGAATTGGTCTCACATGTTATGATATATTCATGAGATAAAGTTATATGATAACTACAACTTAGAATGTGTTTTCTGAATAAAATAGAACATGCTAGGTATAAGAAAAAAAGGAGAGCATGCAAAGTTTTAAAAAGAATCAGGTAACTAGTTCTTAATAGCAATACAAATATTTGTCTTTATGTAATCTTAAACGAGTACAGATTACATATAGACTTAACACTTAACAAGTCTAAAAAAAGTTATAAATCGGGCTTAACATTACAGTACGTGGCCACAAGTGAGTCATCAAAATGGAAGTGTACAGGTAAATAAATTTTATTTTATTAATGCATCTCTTTGATGCAAAGAAAGTGTCATTTTTGTTTTCTTTACTGTAGATTATTTCCTTTATGTTTATTTAAATCGGAAATACTCTTCAGTGTTTATTCATAAATTATTCGTCTGATTCAAAGATGGCAATTGAAAGAAAAGAAATGACACCTGATCAAAAAAACTTTTTAATTTCTTTAGCGAAATTCATTGATATATTGTTTGACAAAGGAAATCTGCAGAATTGTTGACAGTGAGTCCATCTGATGTTTGCAATTTTCTCAAACGATTTAGGTCCGGGAAATACATAAATTTTCAAAAAGCTGAAAAGAAGTGATCGGTAACAGAAGAGCTCTAAGATAACTAAAATGAATTGTAAGTAAATGAAACATTACATGTCCTCAAATCTGCGAGAACTGTAAGGCGTCAATTAATATTAACGGAGAAAAGTTAGAAAGGCCCTTACTATCCCAATAACACAATCAGAATTATATGCATAACTTTGGGGTAAACAAAACTTACATTGTCACTAGTTATCAAATGGATATTTATCATATATTTAGTGATGAAACAATAGTATTACTTGGAACTCAGAAGGGAGTCCTGTCAGGAGAAAGACAGATAAAGGACAACGCGGAGGCAGTTGCATTTCTGTTATGTATTGGTGATGCCTAACATACCATTGTGTCGGGACATTGGCAGTTATTGAGGGGAACATTAATTGCAAAGTACATAAATTGTGTAGGCACGAACTTACGGCCAGTTAATGCCAATTGTGTCCCCGACGTTGAATATTTGTTACAAGAGGATAATGTCACAGTGTCTCTTATGGAAAAACCATGAGAAAATGAAAACAATACTCCATCCATGGCAAGGCTTTTCCAAAAATAAAACATAAAATCTTAAGCATATATTTAAATTAACCTTGAACAATCAAAATGTTTAATAAATTATAAGGCAGACGCTACAATTTGTAGAGAAGTTAAGAGCGTATACTATTGTCTTCCACATCAGTATAATGCATAAATATCAAAACAAATACATCATCTCATGTTCAACTAGGGCCATAATAACAAAGTACTAATCAGATTTTAAGTAAGACTGTATTATGTTTATTTTTAGTATGTTTTGTAAAGCTATCATGAAACTTAATGCAAAAGGCGGCCATTTTGATGACTCACTTATGGCTTACTTATGGTCACGTACATTTGGACGAAATTATGTAAGTGGGAAATGACAACAATTGTGAAAATAAGTTGACAACGTGATAATTATTACAACGCAAATATAAAATGATAGAAAACAGCACAGTCATTGTGGGACTTAGGTATTTAAAAGATGACGTCAGCAAAATGTCATTGTCCTGTATTTTGGGCGTATGTTATAACTATATTGTACGTGTGATATGAAATTATATCTCACCGATATACATGTATTTCAGTATCTCATTTAAACGAATGAGATATAAAATATATACAATGGTTATATTCAAATTAAAACAAGAGATGGCATGCCATGTGATAAGTATTGTATTTTAACTGTAAATTTAGATGTATTTTAAAAATATAAAAAAATAAATATCTCGGAGAAACAGATAGAAAAAGACAACAAAAAAGCTTCAAAATAAATAAACTCTCACCGTGAAAACTGAATTTTCGGAATGTTTAAATCCCTAAAAAAACAAAATATAAACACATTCAATATAAAATATCAAACAAATAGAAATGAGTAAAATGAAAATCGTGGTACATACGATTATGGCACTAAATTTATGATAAAAAAAGTTCTAAAAATTTTAATTCTTTGTCCAAGAATCTATGGTTCATTTCTGTTATTAAATACAAAACTGTATGTTTCAAAACATATTTCTTTTAGGTTCGATTTCGAAACAACTTCTTGAAACTTATATTAATCATTTTCCGTTCCCTGGAACCAACTAATACTGGTGTCATATGAAATAATATGGTGGTGACCCGATTAGGGCTCGAACCCATGATTCCTGAATAGAGAGGCAGACATCTTAACCACTAGGCCACGAATAAACACATCTAGGTTGTTAAGTCTCACAAAAGAATTTTCAGTTGATATTAAAAAAACATTGTCAAAACAGTATGATTGCAATATGTTTGTGGGAGTTTTGGATACGTTAAAGACTATCAAATGCAATTCCTAGTGGTGTTTTTAGCATTAAGTTGCAAATCAAACAAGAACAGATATTATACTGAAACGCAAGAATGTATTATTGTTTGGAAAAAATGTAGCTTCAGATAAAATAGCAATATTTTTAAGTACCTTAAGAGTTTTTAATAGCTTTTTGCAATGTGTTGATGAAAATTCGTGCTAAATGCATTTCGAATAAATGAATGTTTGTTAGCGTCTTGGCTTTTTTGCTTGAAATATGTAAAGAAATGCTGTAATTTTGTCATAAAATAACTTTATTTTCAAAGAAAATGTTTTCTTGAAATAGCTGTGTCACCCCCCCCCCTCCCCCCCCCCCCCCCCCAAAAAAAAAAAAGATTGTTTTACCCTGAAGACATTGTCAAATCAATATTAATGTATTTTCCGGCCTATTGCGCTGATTTTGGTATAACTGTAAAAACACTTGTTTTTTTCTAAAATACTTTGTTACATATTATTAAATTGCTCCTTACAATAACCAGAGATTCATACTTGCTGAATAACGCAATTCTCGAATAAGGTAACCAAATAAAAATAAAGCTACCGCATCGATATGAAATTTTGAAGTCGTATCTTTAAACTGCTGGAAATGTTTTCATTTTTCTTCTGAATAAAGACTGCTGTACATATATTGTGAACTTTTACAGACGTTACAATACTAATCGGATCGAAGAATTCTAATTAACCCAAAGTGAACTGAAGAAACTAATCACTGCAAATGTACAGAAAAGATAACATACCGTATGGTTGAAAGAAAGAGACCATAAACTAATTAAATCTAGATAAAATGTACTAGAAAATAACGATACCGATATTAATTATCTACAAAGTACAAAAATCGAGAAGAAAGAAAACGAATATAATGATAATGATAATAAACAATTAAAAAAAGGACATTCGACAAAAATGCTTTATTTTAAAAACGTTATATTTTTATTAAAATCAGAAATAAAGATTTTAATTTGTTATATTTTTACACACTGTACCATGATACTACATGCAGCTAACTAATTGCATTATCTGTGAAATAAAATATGTGCATATTACATTAGAATGTTTGCAATATTCGTTGTTAGTTAAAAGGATTCCTTAATCAAAGTACTGAAAGTCTGCAGATGAAAGTAGGCATTTCAGATATTTTGCCAACATATACATGCTTACTGGAGCCTTTGGGTAATTTATGTCATTAACGCCAAAAATTGACGACAGCGTTAATTGAAACGAAAATATAATATGATAAACTAAGTTTTTCCTTTTAATAATTACTCGATATTGTTGTCAATATAAGCTATATTTGCATACAAAAACAACAGTATTACCTTTATATTGTCTTCTGTAGACTTGTTTCGTTTTCGTCTGATATTTTGAAAAGAGGATTTCTTGCAACATGAACAAAATATATTTTTAATTGCCCGGAAGAAATATCCAATAGATTTTGGGCTTATTATGAGGTTAAAGGGAGGCGGAAGTGTCGAGCCTTCGTCGAAGTAGCCCATCCAAAGCTTTGACCTTGAAAATTTCCATTCCATATCTGCATGATTCTGTAAAAAATAAAGTTATGATATCCAGAAACCATATTAGATTGTTAAAATTGTGAAAAGTGAATTAAAAAGTGCAGCAATATCAACAAAGTAACCTGCCAAAGATTTTACAGTTAAATGGGGACGGGGATGGTTGTAGTTGGTTTGTGGCAAAAATTGTGGTTTAGAAACAAATCTCTATTTAGATGCTTCAAACAAAATTATATTTATACACAAAATTAACCTGAAATCAAAATATGACAATAATATTTTTAAATTCAAATTTATTATGACTCTTTAATAACGTAATTAAGACGTAGTAAGAAAAAATAGCGACCATGAAAAAAAAATTATGCCGATATTTATAGTAAACAATACCTCTGACCTTGTGCATACAAGATGCATTTGTATTTTCTTATTCAGTCCTTACAACGCTAAATATCGTAAATGTACCGGTACGTATTTCATTTTGGACTAAGCTATTCATCAATATTAAGAAAATTGACCATATAAGTTCTGACTAAAAAACTAATAGTTCAGACTATGAGTTCTCGTAGAAGCAGACTTAAGGTAAATAAAACAAATAGGCTAGAAAAATTACGACACAAAAGGCGGTCCGTATTCAATTTAATAGTGCTGATGATATCAATGAACAAGTTTGAGTTTTTAGAATAAGTATATCTTTTTAAATAGCCTGTCACAAGAATCTCTGCATTATGAAAGTAAAATAAAAAATAAATCAAATCATTCAATCTTGATTTATCTTAGTGCTGTTTTATCTGGCATGAACCGGATAATCTATTATCTTTCAGGAAATAGTTCCCATAATCTATATACGCACTATCTCTTGTATAAATTCACGCGCAGAAAAAATAATTCCCTTCTGAAATATTAGAAAGTGCGAGTTGTAACATTAACAATCGTAGATTAAATCTACATATTAGTAAAAGAATTGTAAATTATTACCTCGATTTCTTGGAATGAATTTGACATCATTGCAATGAGCATGTTGATGAGAACAATTACCGCCATTGTGTGATACACCATAAAAAGTAGTTCCCCTACAGTTTCTGTAAAATACTGACTGTTGTTGATCTTAATGTCCTTCAGTTGGGTCAGACTGAACAGTGACCAGTATAATGTCCGATAACTGTTCTCTAGACTGGAAAATATATAAAACATCTAAAAGAAATAACAAAATTAACACTCAAATGAGCAATTATATCCTGACATGTACGTTTCACCTTGATGGTGAAAAAGATGGTGCGCGTATTTTTTTAACTTAACAGTGATATCGTCATGCCATGATCGGAAATTTGGTCAATGTCGTCTGCCAAAAAAGGCATTTTCAATACGTGTCTGTTTGCGTTTAATTAATCATTCATTTATTTTTAAATATTAAGAGAAAAAAAATTATTTAGTTTAAGTTTATAAAGGAACATTCTTAACAGATAGTGTTAAATTAATGTACAGCTTATTATGTGTGTGTTTGTCGTTGTTGTACATCTAGTTGTTGATGTTTTGTACAATAATATAATACGTTTATTTTAAGGAAACGATCACTTTTTTATTTCTTAAGCATTTAACGTATTAAGGATATGAATTTAAAGTTTACTCCATATTTAGTAGGATCCGTCTGTACCAGAAATTTTGAAAGAAGCAAACATATTTATTACATGCTTTTCGGTGGTTTATAGAAATATATCAGTGATATAAAAACTGGTAATTTCACTGTTTGAAACAGTGAAATTACCACTTTGATAATTTCACTGTTTTGAATTTAAGCCCCTTGCGTTGTTTCAGTGAAATACCAGCGTGCACAGAACAGGATACCAACTTAATGACGTGACGTCGTAAATGACGTCACGCTGTATTATTATTTGGCGCGCTTTTCATTCAGTATTAAGTTTAATGTCTTTTTAAAACGTTTCTTTGCATATAATAAAAAGAAAATTTGTTAAGTTCAGTGTAAGATCGAAATATATTTCACCTCGTGAACACCAAAAGTTCACATTTCACTCGTGGCTGCGCCACTCGTGAAATATACCTTTTGGTGCTCACTCGGTGAAATATATTCCGATCTTACACTGAACTTAACAAATATCCTCTATTTATTAAACTTATAAATTGTATTTAAGACGGAATCTTGTGAGAATGAAATAATGCGATAATTGTAAAATAACAAAGAACGTATTCATTTCCTTCTGTTTTCCTATAATTTACTTTGAATAATCACTCACACGCTTGTATTTATTGTTTCCAGTCCTTTGAGATAACCATGATTCACAAAAATATAATTTATTATTTCTATTGGGAATAGTTTTATATGTATACTTACGTATAAAAAGAAGGCGGGTTCCCAGAATCCGGAGTGTAATACCAGTAGAGTTGGTTAAGCCCACAGGCAAACGAAGTCAACACAAGAAAAAATATCAACATAAATTTGGCAATGTCTATCAACATACAACCCAAAGATATCTGGAGAGGTCCCAAGTACTGATCAGCTTGGAAAAGAAATATAATCCTGGCAAAACTAAACACGTTGGCCACTGCAAATAGTCCCTCCGAAACCATCGTTGGATCGTAAAGCGGCCAATTCTTGCGCTCCATGGAACGCGGGCCATATTTCCCAGACTCCATCTGGAAATACGCGACAAAGCGCAAGGTGAAGGTCGTTAGATACAATGAGAGCATGATAAAATCCATCCAGTTCCACCATTGACGAATGTAGGCTTTTAGACCTTCCTCCCATAACTGTTTACATTCTGACCAGATAAACCCTGTAAAGATGACAAAAATAGATATGAAAACTACTTCCGGCACGTGACATACAAATAAACATAAAGTTCCAAAAAATTCCAGTAGGAAGAAAACGTTCGGTGATGAGCTTTTCTATATACATTCTGTCTACCGTCAAATAAAAACTGTAATCGTGCAATTGTAATCAGGCAATCGTAATCTTGGAAAAGTAATCGTGTAATCATAACACTGTAATCGTAATCGTTACCGTGAAATCATGATCACGTAACCGTAATTAATTCGTATTGATTGTGTAATTAATTGTTACCATGTTTTAGTAATTATGTAATTATAATCTAATAATCATGTTAACGTAATCATCTTATATCTTCATCGTTGGGAAAAAAAGCTATTTTTCAGAAAATATTTTAATTAATTTTATATCGGTTATAATTTTAAAGGCATATTATATCTCGGAAACGAATATATATTTTCTTCTTTAGAAAGGGCAAACGTAAGTATTTTAACATTTAAATAATAGTTTAGACTATGTTAGGTGCGTATTTCCGGAGGAAAGTAACGATTAAAATAATTTGTTATTAAAGGTAGCAAAATGTTAACAAAGTAGCATTTGACTTCCATACAAATTTGACCATTATAACTGTACAAACTGCCAAAAATAAAAAGAGGCAAAAGAATGTTAAGATAAATAAAAAAAATAAAACAACAAAAAAACCTTTTAGAAACAAAAATTAAAAAGGTTTCTGGAGCATACTTGAACTTTAAAGCCGTGTTATTGTCAGTTGTATTTAAATTAAGATATTCAAGCTATGCAAACTAAAAAAATAGAACCTATTATATTATGTTCATAATTTTTCATATTCACATTTTCATACGCAATTGAAAAGTAGATTGTGCAGCACAATTACATCATGTCTAGTAACCATGGCAAAGAACTAAGCAGAATTATATTTTTTATGGTTATGTTATTCTAACAGACATCTACATTACAGAATTTAATGTCACGCGAATCTCGTGTTTCTAGTTTTTTTTACTTGAAAATTTCCTTTTGATTAAATGCCATCCTTCAGCCAACAGTCTCGTAGTCTTATTACGTTTTCAAAATCAATAGATAAAACCTGTCACTGTTGCTGGTAGGAATATATACTGTGAATTCATTTAAATTCGTGGGCATGAAATCTCGTGGTTTTTGTCCAAGAGAAAAACTATTTTTGTGTGTATTCTTAAATTCGTGGACTGTTTGCCTGTGTATAAAAAAATGCAAATAACATAATGAATAATTGTACAGCAGACGAAATAAGATTGCGTTGGTTCTTAAATTCGTGGATTGACATAGGGGAATGTTTAGCTATTGTCTTTTAAAATTCATTTGTATATTTGATTTGTTATGCATTCATCGAAGCTAATATACACAATGTGATGATAAGATACTTAAAAATTATCTTAGAGAAACTAAGACAATTATATTTTTTAAAGTTTTTATTACTGTTTAAAGTGGATTGGTCTACAATGGGCATGTTCTTTTTACCTGCTATACAACGGGGCAAGTGGTCTGAAGTCATCAACCACGGATGCTCTAACTAAAAATACTAGAAATATAAAAATTCTACGTAAACAATGAACGGACCTGTTACCCAAATACACACAAGCCACTCTAGTGTGGTTGGCGGTGGACCTCGTAGGTTTTCCCTGTCTTTCAGACTCGAGATCTCTGTAGACGCCCACATTAATAATACCAGAAACGTCACGAAGGATGCACTGTGGTATAAAAACTTCATAAACGGTGTTCGTAAAAGCTTTCCTATTTTACTGAGTGGGAAAGTCCAATAATAGATGGCCATAAATGGCATAATTAGGCATAGTCCGAGGCAAATTGTGAATTTCGATATGGTGTTTCGCTTCCTCCACCCTGGGAGACCCTCGTACCAAATACTGGTAAGCAACTGCTGGCAACTTGGATGGGCAACAAACTGCAATAGAGATCAAATGGTTTAGAATTTAAAACTACATGTATTTACATTATACGTCATGAACTCAACGGAAGTGTTTTTGGCACATGCGCTTTGTTCATTAAATGTACAGTTGGTCTTAAATGATAACGTGGCTCACCATGTAATATTATTAGTTATAAAGATTTTAAAAAGTTATATGGTTTTATATATGAACGGTTGTGAGCTTAGGCAATCCAAGTCGCGAGTTGCCAAAACACCTCATATACGGGCATATTACCTGTTTAAAATCTTTATAACAAAAATACAGCATGATTCCTTTGATCGAGTTGTTCCATAGCTTTACATCTATAGATATTATATTTACGTAACGATTATCCATTGAAAAGCATTGTTAAAAATGTACAATATTATAAAGTACATTTACCGCCGCTTTTCACGCGATCAAACAAAATAGAAAAAAAAACATTTAAGAGACAAGAAAACGTAAAAAAAGGTGTTATATTTTCCTTATCTTCTTTCAGTTAAAAATAATGTTTTAGCTTAGACAACTGGTTTGAGTTAATTTGCCTTGGTTTTTTTTCTGCAAATATTGTTACTTATTCAATTAAAATGGATTGGTCTACAATGGGCACATTTTTCAAAAGTATTAAAAACAAATAGAAGTCTTTCATTTGGGGATTCTGATGAAAATTTGCTTGAAAACAATTGTGAGTTTAGTATGAATGTTTATATGATGAATAATAATATTTTGTTCTAGAAAAAAATATTATCTGCTATGTGATACTCGTAAATGTAATATCGAATCACGTATCTCAGATCTGCCAACAACTATTATATATATATCGTTCTTTATCGTGACTTGTTACTAAATATGTCTTAAACTAAATACTATGAACATACATATTTATTGTATTACTGTGGACCTTTTATTACAGACTAATTTACTTTAAAATAGTTTATATGAAAACAATGGTAAGAGGATGCTCTCAGCTGAGTCATTATTACCTGGAATGAATCAAATATTACTTACGTACTTTCAATATGATATTATTTGACTATAATGAATATGTTTATTATGACGCGATTACATATTTGCTGTGCTATGGCACACACGCGCTTCCATAGAATATCGTGCAAATCATGTTTTTGCGCAATCTGCATGTTGTTTGCAGTGTCATAATGACTGCGCATTTTCACTGTTTAAAAACGGATAAACTCTCTTCTATATTATACACGAAGATCTAATTATTCTCGACAATAATTTCCTTTAAATATTGACAACAATCTTGTGCCATTTAAATGTCATTACAACAAAACACAATATGCTACTAAGTATATGTGTTTTTTATATTTATATTAACACAGTCTTATCAAAAATGCTGATTTATACAAACAATCAAGGCTTATCAAAATAGCTTATCGCTGAAAATTTTCAAGGGTTCGTTTTGCGTTGCGATAATATTTTCATTAATCAAATCCAATAACAATACGTATACTTGTCGATGGTATATAGTGGTGGATATTTAACCACACCGACACAATGTCATATAACGACTTTCCAGCTTAAATGGTTCAGAAAGACCTTGGTGGGACTTGGTGGTTCATGAACGAAGGATTGCATGCTGTTTTTATAACATTATACATTAAGGTAAAAAAACGCTCACAAAAATCAAATTTGTATATAGAAACTGTGTAAATATAAAAAAAAGACATGTAATGATCATGAGATTTCATGGAAAAATTAATTACAAAAGAACTCAAAAATACATATCGTAAACTTTTATGTCAAGCTTAGTTAACAAAAATGTATGAAGCAAACGGAGGCAGCAATTAACGCAATGATATATTTACAATGTGTTTGCGAAAAAATGCAAATTGCGTCAAATTTAATTCATTTTTAAGGGATACACTATCTATTAATAACCTTATGACCTTTCTTTTATTTTTTTTTCATGAAAAAAGTACATACATTCTCCTCATTATCTGTTACGTTGTGTAGCAAAAGACATTTTTAAGATCTTAATAAAAGTAAATTATCAGGGTTTTTTTTAACTTAACGAGCTCATTAGCATTTCGAATGAATCTTCTGGAAATTTGAGACAGCTATAAGTCGCGTCCTACCCTTTAATGAGGAGGGAAAAATTGATATTCTAGCTTATAACAAAACTTTGTTTTCATTAATATCCAATTATGAATAGATATTAAACATAAGCTCTAGCCATGATCTTATTTTAGTTGTCACGATGTTTACGTATCTTTTACTGAAGAAAAAGATATCGTATTAAAAAGACACTAAACTTCGTGATTTGCTTGTGCTTAAATAATTTTTAAACCATTTATTTCCACCATTAAGGTATATATTAACGAAAAGGATCAATGCAAAATTCATATATTTCAATAGTTAAAGCATACAAGGTTTGATAGAAGAAGGCGTAATACAAAAATCATCGAAACATGAAGCTATCTGATTTGTTCACGGGTGCGTTGTCCCGGATATAAATCAGATTGCCGAGTGTTTTGATGTTCTTTCTCTGTTGTTTCATAGACTAAATTTTAAACACGTTCCTTGTCGTTACAATATGAAATCCTAGAAATAGAAAAGTAACCAATGTATGATCGTCTGAATATGGCATTTTTATCGTTATTCCTTTCCCTGTCGTCACAAAACATTAACCCAAGAAAAAATGTAGCCAATCAACGAGCATGCTCTTTTTTATGCAGTACCTTGAGTCCGGGTAACTTACACCAGCACCCAAGTTAATGCACTGTGCATGTATTGGTGGTGTACGTTTTAACTCTAACACATCAAGAAAGGTCTCCAAACTCATACAAAATAAGGACGTATAACCACTAAAATGACGTCAGAACTTTAAGAGTTAGAATCAAGCAACAACTATGCTTTAACATTACATCATTTATTATTTGATAGAAGATATATCAGAGATGGAATTGATTTCAACAGTTTGTATCAGATAATCTACGTTTTTATTGTCCTATCGT